ACAACCTGGGTGGCTGCTGGAGCACCTTGACACCTGGCCACCCCTGGCTGCATGGGAGTCTTGGAAATGGGCTCCCACAGCCAGGCAGCTGCGTGCAGGCTGGAAACCAGGGCGTTGTCACTCAAGCAGAGGAGAAAATGGCTGCTAGGGGACCACCAGCATCCATGCCATGAAGGTGAATCAGAGACAGGTCCCGCTGGCAGCAGCACTTTTATCTTTTGGGGGCCTTAAAGTTAATTTTTGTTAAGCCTTGAATTTTGGTAAATCCCTAGCCCTGAAAAGGGTGTGGAAATCAGGACTTCTGAACCCAAGCAAAACAATACAAAGTTGGGTTTGGGGGAAAAGGTGGAAAGAGTCCAACCAGTTGGGCACAGTGGCTCACACCTGTAATCCCAGCACTTTGGAAGACTGAGGTAGGTGAATGGCTTGAGCCCAGGAGTTTGAGTCCAGCCTGGGCAACATGGCAAAACTCCGTCTCTACAAAGAAAAAAAATAGAAAAAATTAGCCAGGTGTGGTGGCACGTGCCTGTAGTCACACAGCTACCTGGGAGACTGAGGTGGGAGGATCACCTGAGCCCAGGGAGGTCAAGGCTTGAGTGAGCAGCGATCACACAACTGCACTCCAGCTTGGGTGACGGAGTGAAACCCCGCCTCAAAAAAAAGGTCAGTGCAGAAAGCCTCTAGCCAGACTGACAAGTACGCGTGTAAAAAATCTCAGCCTGGCCGGGCACGGTGGCTGACGTCTGTAATCCCAGCACTTTGGGAGGCCGAGGCGGGCAGATCACCTGAGGTCAGGAGTTTGAGACCAGCCTGACCAACATGGAGAAACCCCATCCCTACTAAAAATACAAAATTAGCTGGGCATGGTGGCGGGCACCTGTAATCCCAGCTACTCTGGAGGCTGAGGCAGGAGAATCTCTTGAACCCAGAAGACGAAGGTTTCCGTGAGCCAAGATCGTGCCATTGCACTCCAGCCTGGGCAATGAGACCAAACCTACGTCTCAAAAAAAAAAAAAAAAAAAAAAAGGCCTCAGCCTTCTCAGCAGTGCCAAAAAAGCCTCACTTTTCTAAGCTGAAATGCTGTCATCTGCTCAGTGGAAACCTCACAGCCAGAAGACTTCTTGCCAATCAAATTACTGTTTTCTTTTTACCTGTGGGAAAGGAGATTAACTTCACATCCATGTGGGTCCAATGTGCAGCCCCCTAAGGGTGCTCTGGGAGGCTTTAGGAAGTGCCTGCTGGCTCGAAATAGAAATGCAGAAGCAGCAGCCTGCTGGGCAAGTGCAGCCTTTTAAGCCACTGCTAAGACAAGCAGGTCCCAACCGTGGGAGGCTAGAATGTTCTTAAAAGAGCAGTGAGCCGGGCGCGGTGGCTCACGCCTCTAATCCCAGCACTTTGGGAGGCCAAGGCGGGCGGATCACTTGAGGTCGGGAGTTCGAGACCAGCCTGACCAACATGGAGAAACCCCATCTCTACTAAAAATACAAAAAAATTTGCTGGGTGTGGTGGTGCATGCCTGTAATCTCAGCTACTCAGGAGGCTGAGGCAGGAGAATCGCTTGAACCTGGGAAGCGGAGGTTGCGGTGAGCCAAGATTGCGCCATTGCACTCCAGCCTGGGCAACAAGAGCAAAACTCGGTCTCAAAAGAAAAGCAGTGAAAAGAGCCCAGGAGTTGGAGCTGGGCGACACTGGGCCGATTCTTTCTTCCTCTCGGAGCCTGAGTTTCCCTGTCTGTGAGAGGCCTCGGGCTGTGGTAGTGGTAGAGTCCTGCTGCTTCGGTGGGCTTCTACGGACTGGAACACATGACAGCATTTTTTACAAAACACCATTTAAAAAATTATTTTGGCGGCCGGGCGCGGTGGCTCAAGCCTGTAATCCCAGCACTTTAGGAGGCCGAGGCGGGTGGATCACGAGGTCAGGAGATCGAGACCATCCTGGCTAACATGGTGAAACCCCGTCTCTACTAAAAATACAAAAAAAAAACTAGCCGGGTGTGGTGGCGGCGCCTGTAGTCCCAGCTACTCGGAGGCTGAGGCGGGAGAATGGCGTGAACCCGGGAGGTGGAGCTTGCAGTGAGCCGAGATCGCGCCACTGCACTCCAGCCTGGGCGACAGAGCGAGACTCCGTCTCAAAAAAAAAAAAAAAAAAATTTATTTTGGCTTATATAAGTAATACATGTGCCCTGTAGAAAATTTGGAAAATAAAGTATAAAGAAGGAAATCACCTGTTACCCCACCACCCACAGTGACTACTGTTCTTTGGGGTTTTTCCATACATATTCTGTGTGGGATCTCAGAGCACAAGCTGTTTTATAACCTGCTTCTGCGCCTGAGCTTTTCTCAGTGTGTCATCACCTCACTAGATCCCTCACACTGTCGTCCCTGTCTGCACAGGACCCCAGAGGAGGGGTGGGGCTGCAGCCAACTCTTCAGTGTTGGCAAGCCCTTACAGTTTCCTTCTCAGTAATTGTATCACTTCTATTTCTCTAGGGCAACGGGACTTGAAGAAGGGGGGCTGTTTTGCCCCCCAAGGGGCATTTGTCAGTGTCTAGACTTTTGATTGTCGTAAGTTGGGGAAGCGAGGACTACTGGCATGCAGCGGTTGGAGGCCAGGGCTGCTGCTGGATGTCCTGCAGCGCACAGGACGGCCCCCACTAGAGTCGTCCGGCCCAAGTGTCTGGAGCGCCACTGTGGAAACCCCGCCGTGGACTCATTCCCTAGCTGGGGAGTCCCTGAGTGGACAGGAGGGACAGCTGAGGGGGGGCTTGGTGCAGCCAGACTGCCCTGCAGGGAGATGGCTCCAACACCCAGGACGTCTTCCTGCATGCTTGCCACCCCTAGGTACTGTCCTTTGCTGCCCACATTTGACAGTGCTTTCTAGGAGAATTGCCCGTTAAAGTCTCCGGAGGCCGAGGAAAAGGATGGCTGTCGAGACTGTTGGAGGTTTCGGGGAACTAGTGGTACAGGCAGACAGGATTGTCGCTCCCCTCCTGAGGGGAGTGTATATTAGGCCCTGCCTGGTCCCCAAAAGAGTTAATGCAGCAAGATAAAATATGTGAGGCACAGGGAGGAGAGTGGGCCCCAGAGAGTTGGGGTTCCAGGCCCTGTGGGCTCCATGGGCCAGCCAAGGCCCCACCCACATTCAGAGTTTTACTGCCTCAGAAGTTGTTCTGAGCCAGGCCCAGCCCTCTCAGCCTTCCCGGACAGTGCATTGAGAGGCCTGCACGGGGTGATTAGGGGTTCCGCTTGTTTGCCCACTGGTGGTTCTAGGAGCACCCCACTCTGAGAGTCCACATGGGAAAAGGGGAGCATGGAAACACAAGAAGTGACAGTCCTGCCCAGCCATGCCCTCAGCCCTGTGTTCACCTCACAGTGGGGCCCACGCCACCCCAGGGATAGTCGAGCGGGCTCTGCCCAAGTGGTGAGGGGGACTGAGCCAGCAGGAGCAGCAGGAGGGGCTGCAGCGGGAGCAGCTCTTGAACAGGAAGAGGGCAGCAATGACGAGGTCCCCTGGTGGTGGGGCTTTGCTGGCCAGGTACCCACTGGGTCAGCACTGCTTCCTCACTGCCCTCAGCCTCCCCTTTCGAGAGGGGTCCACTTCCTGTGCTCTTCAGGCTCTTCATCCCAGCCCTGCTCCCGAGACTCCAGACTGTACAGCTCGGCCTGGCCTGGCCTGGGCCTTCCTGGGAAAAGGCTAAGCCAGAAACTGGCCCCTGTGCCCAGGCTGGTCAGCCAGGGAGGGACCAGTCTAGGGTCCAAAGAATGGATGCAGAAGTCCCCCCAGCCTTCTGCACCAGGGGACCTGCCCCCTATGTCTCTAGCCTACCAGGTGTTCACTTAGGGAGGTGGACACTTCAACCCTGCCCTTAGGGCCCCCCACATGCCGAGCCCAGCAGCACATTCGGGGATGTACCCCACTGCTGCTCCTGGACCCCAGTGTCTAGGCTGACAATCCAATCCCCTTGTGTGCCAAGGAGGTGAGAGGCCAGTGATCCGCAACTCAGGTGTCCAGGGACGCAGTGGGTGTGGAGATGCAGGATGAGGCTTGCCCCAAACCCTGATCCCCAGGGGTGGGGCGGAGGAGGCCCTGGCCAGTAGGTGGCAGCACAGGCTGCGTCCTTGGAGCTTGGGAGCTGGAGGAAGGTGGGGAGCAGGATTCCTAGCCCCTGGCTGCCTCACCCGTCCACCTCTACTCCCTGAGCTGGCCGAGCCCCTCAGGGTGCCCAACCATAGTAGGAGCCCTGAGCCAGAGGCTGGGCAGGGACAGCAGCAACTGGCAACTAGAGTGAGTTGCAGGGGGTTGGGGGGAGGTTGCATGAGGGACCAGGGAGACCAATCCCTAAACAGCCCCAACCCTCCTCCTGCCTACCTTGTGGTCCCACCTTGAGGCTAAGGGGCTGGACACCCAGAGGCCCCCGAAGTGGCTGCCAGTGAAGGGGGGACCAGTGGTTCCCCAGGGCTGCTAGAGGATCTTGAGGGTTGAGCCCAAGGGCCAGTGGGGTTGGGGGGCTGTTCAGCCTGAAGGCTGAGGCTGGGAGGGAAGAGAAGATAAGAGAGTAGGTGTTGGCGGGGTAGGAGGGAGGTAGGGAGATGTCTGGATCTGATAATGTTGCAGCTTGGAAGACTGGAGGAGGAACCCAGTTGGAGGGACCGGAAAGCTCTCAAGTTTCTGAGCTCAACCCCCACCTCCACTATCCCTACCTCCCCCACCCTGCAGGATGAGCCCAAGGAACGTGCTAGGCTCCACACCCAGGCCTGAATGCCCTCAGATGCTCAGGCCTGGAGCTCCTCCCTCATTCTCCCCAGTGTTCCTGCCTGCACAGCCCAATAGACATGAGGAAAGGGGCCCATGGACTAGGTGGGACAGGCAGAACAGAGTGGCCACCTGCTGGCTTCTGTCCCTTCTCACGGAAGGCAAGGCCCACGGCAGGCCCAGGACTCAGACTCCTGGGGCCTGGCTGCTGCCCTTCCCCCTCCCCCCTGGGAAAGGAGAGGCACCACTCAGAGGCAGGCAGGCCAAAACCCTAGTTTATTTCAGCATCAGCAGTATCTTAGCCATCAAAAAAATAAACTCTACCAAGGGTGACGAAGTCTCTACAGCAAGGCTAAGGGCTCGCCAGGCGGCGAACATCAGGGGTGCATGGTGGGCACTGCCCAGGCAATAAGTTAGGAAGCAGCAGGGCTGGTGTCGGGTGTGGGCCGGGCTTCACTTCTGGGCAGGCATGAGGTCGTCGATGGCCTGGCCCTGCTCCAGCCGCTGCTCCATCTCGATGAGCAGCTTCACTCCGTCCACCACCATCTGCACCAGCTCCACCTCCGAGAAGCCCAGGCGGTCAGCGTTGGAGACGTCGAAGACCCCGCCCACTGCAGCCGTGTCCACACCGCCTGGGGAGACAGCAGGTCAGGGCGGAGGAAACAGGGCTGTCCAAAGGCCAACAGGAAGCCTGCAGCACCCGCCCTGCTCACCTGTGCCTCGCTTCTGAAGTCGTAGCCGCTTAAGCACCTCCGAGAACTTCTCATGCTTGCCCAGGTGGGGCAGCTTGATGTGCACTCCTGCCCGCAGCCCTGTGCCCAGGTTGGATGGGCAGGTGAGGATGTAGCCCAGGTGAGGGTTCCACATGAACTCATAGTTCTTAGACTTGAAGAGAGTTTCAATCTGCAGACGGAGAAAAGGGTATGAGGGAGAAGGCCTGCCCGAGACCCCCACAGGCCCTGAGACTCCCAAGTCCCAGAAATCCCCCAGGGGGACTGATGGGGCACCCACATCCCTGCTGGAGCCCTGGGGTCTGGGCCTGCCCCGTCCCTGGCACCTGGGTGAGGCCGGTGCAGAAGCGGGTGAACACCTCCTTCATGTTGCCCCCCTTCTGCATGGAGATGACCCGCAGGTGATCCTCCTCGTTGACCCACACCAGGAAGGTCTTATTGTCATTGTGCCTGCGGGAGGGCTGGTCTCAGGGCATATCCAGAAAAAAGCCCCAGGCCGTCCCCAGACCAAAGGAACTTCCCAAGTCCCCGAGGTGCTGCTCGCAACCGTGCCCTGAAGCAGGGGCTGCTGCCAAGACTCCGCCCAACACGGGGCAGGCGGGGCCGAGACGCCTCACAGTGAGCAGAACCCCGGCTGCCATCACGTCGTGCAGTGGTCTGAGGTGGGGCAGGGCCAGGGACCGCCAGGACAGCCCCGCCCGCCCCCCACAGTGGGGGTAGGAGCCCTGCCCCAGGAGAAGCTTCTGCGTCACCAGCCCCTGGTAGAATCCCAGCGACTGAGGAGTGAGAAAACAAGGAGCTCCAGCTCCCGAGGGGCGTCGGGCAGAGGCGCCAGGGGCCCCGCCCCCACCTCACGTCTCTAGAGGGGCTGAGTCCTGAACCCCCAGGGGCCTGGGCCCAGTACCTTAACGCACCTGCTCGGCCAAGGTCACCTGCGCGGGAGGCGCAGCACGTAACCCAGACCCGGAGCGCGGCCGGCCCCTCCCTCCTCCTCCTCCTCCTCCTCCTCCTCCCTCTCCTCCTCCTCCTCTCCTCCCTCTCCTCCTCCTCCTCTCCTCCTTCTCCTCCCTGCCGCGAGGGGCCCCACCCCGGCGAGGGGGGCGAGAGGGAAAGGGGAGGCGGCGGAGAGGGCGGACGCCGCGAGAGGGCGCAGAGGGACACGCACCAGATACCGCGGGCGTCGGGCCAGTCGCGGGCCATGCCCGAGGCCAGCAGCAGAGGTGACACGGGCTTGTCGAAGAGGAAGTGGTCGTCGATGAGCTGCTGCTGCTCCGCCTCCGTCATGCTCTTGAGCGCGTAGTACCGGCCCGCCAGGTCGCCGTCCAGGCTGGACAGGGCTGCGGGGCGTGCGCTCAGGACGCTCGGCTGCCGCGCCCGCCCCTCCAGCCCACAGCGCGGACCCGCCCGCCCCCGTGCTTCACCCCGGGGGACGTCAGAGGCCCCCACCCGCCCAGACTTGCGGGCGTCCAGTCCTCATGGCCCGGGCGACGGTCCCAGTCGGTGACCCCGCGCCAGGACCCGCCCTCCCTGGGCCCCAGGCCGCTGTGGGCGCGGGGCTGGGCCTCCGTCCCTCGGTCCCTCCGGGAAACTGAACCCAGGGGCGCGCAGATAAGAGCGCGGCGGCGGCTGCCGCTCCCAGGCGACATAAACAAAAGCGGGCGGGGACCGCGCCGGGAGGGGCACGCAGCCGCCGCCGACCCTTGGCCCTCCCGGCCCCTACCTTCCACCGCGAGCTTCTCGATGGCGCGGCGCTCCCCGCGGCTGCAGTGCGGGGGCAGGCAGAAGCCGCGGATGCTGCGGCCCGTGCGCACCCGCGAGCTCAGCACGTAGTTGGGGTCCAGGTCGTCGCCGCCCTGGGGGGCGAGACGGGAGTGAGCGCCCGGAGACCCCGGCCCGGCCCGCCCGGCCCGCCCGCCGCCCCGCACCTGCAGGTTGTCGGGGTTGAGGTCGGTCTTGTGCTCATCGCTGGGCTTGTAGCCGCCGTGCCGGTCCTCGATGATGGGGTCGAAGAGATCCTTGAACACGTCGTAGGACTCCTCGTCGCCCGCCACGCAGCCCACGGTCATGATGTACGGGTGGCCTAGGGGAGGGGGCGCGGGACGGAGACAGTGACGTCACTGCCGGGCCCGAGCGCGCTGCTGAGGACCGTGCGGCTGCGCGCGGGGAGGGGGCGCCGGGACCCCGGCCCCGAGGGGTCGCGTACCCGGGTTGTCCACGCCTGTCTGGATGACGTCGTCCAGCGTGAAGCCGCTCGGCGTGCTCTTGGCGCGCAGCTCCGCGTACAGCTCGGGGGTCAGCACCTTGGCCATGTGGTTGTTGTGGGCGCTCAGGTCCGGGAACTCGTCCTCGGCGGGGAAGCGCAGCTTCAGCGCGTTGTGGCTGTTGGAGAAGGGCATGGCGGCGGCGGGCTGCGGGGAGACGCGGGGTCAGCAGGGACCGGCAAGCCGGGGTTCCCGGACTCCCGCGTACCACTCAGGCCCCCGCCGCCGGGCCCCTCGGCGCCCCCGGGACGCGGCCAAGGTCAGAGGGGTCCGCAGCGCGCGCGGGGAGCGCCATCATCGCCCGGGACCCCCGGCCGGTCCGGCGCGCGCTCCAGGCAACGCGCCCGGAGCGCGTGACGCCGCAGCGCCCGCGCCCCCTTTGCACGCAGCGCCCCTAGCCCCGGCGCCGACGCCCCCGGCCCCCGGGCCCACTCACCGGGCGGCCGGGCGGGGGCGGGGGCGCTCCGTCCGTCGGCAGCTCCCGGAGCGACGCAGGCGAACAGCGGCTGCTCCGCGCTCCCGCGGCTCTTAAGGGACGCAACGAGGGCCGCCCATTGGCGGCTATTTATAGCCCATTCATTCCATTGGCCCGCGCCGCGGGGTGGTGCCGCCGCTTTGTCCGCCGCCCGCAGCCCCTGACACCCCCGGCCGCCCACCCGAGCCGTCTCCCCGCTGGGACCCCGCGCAGCCTGCCCAGTCCCCCGCCCAAGACCTCGAGGCCGAAACCTCAGATCCTTGAATATCTGGATCCCCTCGCACGCCCTTGCCTCCGAGCGGGAAACTGAGGCGGAGAGCCTCTGGGCACTCGAGGACGCTCGGGTTCATCCGCATCCTCCAGCCTGCCCGCCTAGTCCAGCCAGCCCCCGCGGCGGCGGCGAGGGGCCGGGCGAAAGCGTTCAGGGCTTCCGCAGCAGGCACTGCCCCCACCCCACCCCCGGCCAATGCGAGCTGGCCCGGAGCCGCCGACCTTCCTCAAGGTGCCCGCAGGCATCTCCTGGGCGATCTTGGTGCAAAGCGAAGGCGCGCGGGAGGCGCAGTCTGGCTGCGGCCCAGCCCGGGGGCACCCGCGGTGCCCTGACCTTGGACAAGTCCTGGGGCTCTGGGGAATGCGAGCCAGAAACCACGCGGACACTGTGGTCTTAAGAGGCCGCTGGCAAGTGCAGCCTTGGAGTTTCCAGACCCCAACCCTGGGCCCTCTTCGCAGGGGACAAGCTCACCCGACCCCCAAAGGCAGTCCCCAGAGACTTCTGGCAAGGATGGGAGGAAACGCTAATAAACAATAAGCATAAATGCGATTTAAAGAAGAAGAAGAAAACAAAATCTCACGAATAACTAGAGTCATGCAAATTAAGCAGTGACTCCACCTCTCCCTACCCCCAGCACTCCCAGATCGACTCCAGCCAGTGCTGGCTATGAGTTGGAATGAGGGGAGACAGGCGTCCGCACGCTGCCTGCAACTTGAATTGCTGCCTGCTTTTTGCAAGGTAATTTGGCAGAATCTATTAACATTAACAATGTTGGGGGCCGGGCGCGGTGGCTCAAGCCTGTAATCCCAGCACTTTGGGAGGCCGAGACGGGCGGATCACGAGGTCGGGAGATCGAGACCATCCTGGCTAACACGGTGAAACCCCGTCTCTACTAAAAAAAATACAAAAAACTAGCCGGGCGAGGTGGCGGGCGCCTGTAGTCCCAGCTACACAGGAGGCTGAGGCAGGAGAATGGCGTGAACCCGGGAGGCGGAGCTTGCAGTGAGCTGAGATCCGGCCACTGCACTCCAGCCTGGGCGACAGAGCGAGACTCTGTCTCAAAAAAAAAAAAAAAAAAAAAAACAATGTTGGAACTCCGTGACCCAGCAATCCCCCTTCTAGGAATGCAGCCCTTAGAAAGGATGTCTCAGTTCTCTCCACTAATGGACCAAGAGATCTGTGGAGGGAAAAACAAACACATCTGGATACAACCCGATGCCCATCAGGCGGGACTGGCCAAGGGTAGGAAGGCACCTGCTTGCTATGGAATATTATGCAGCTGTTAAGAGGGGGAAGTGGAGTATGTGGGGTTAATATCCATTAAAGACCCTCATCCGTTGCTCTGTGAATAAAGCAAGGAAGGGGGGAACCCTTATCTGTGGGTATATTTGATATAAATCCCTCCAGCAGTGGCACAGTGAGCACCTGCCCGGTGCCAGCCGCTGGGGATGCATCAGGCAGCAAGGTACACAGCGCCTGCTGCTGGCTGGAGGAAGACTGGCCATGAGCCAGCAGTCCAGCAAACCAGATGACATCACATCAGTGCTGCTGGGGTCAGGGGGACACAGAACACTGCAGTTCCAGGTATAAGGGATCCCAAATAGATGCCTCTGAGGAGAAGGCACCAGAGCCAAGGCCCAAAGGCAGGGGAAGCCCATTCACCTCTGCCTATGTTAGCATCTATGTGTGGGCCCTGCCTCTTGTCTCATCCCCATGCTCACTGCAGAGGAGACACATGCCTCTTTGCTTCTTAGCATACTTCGTCCTGTTCCAAGTCAGCATTTTTTAGACTAATAAAACCAACCGATGTAAAAAGGCAAATGGCCTCTCTGGGCTGGCCAGACAGCAGGTGTCCCTTAAGCCTGGAATTCCTGCACTCTGTGCCCCATGCAGCCTCTTCCCCTAATTTTAGATATTTCTGCAGCTGCCCACCCACTACCCCACAAAGCCTGAAGGGCTTAAGTTTCTGTTTCTGGAAGGGATAGCTGCAGCCCCTGGAGGCAGACTTGGGGGACAGACTTGGGGGCCACACTCAGGACTTCCTCTGTCTTCAGCATCTGCAGCTTCTCAGAAGGCCACCCCTCCCCTCTCTCACCCTCCTGGCTGACAGCCTAACCTGCTTCCCCAGGCCCCCCATGGGAAAGGACCTCCTTTCTCCTTTCCTGAAGGGGGCCAGCCCCTCCACACCTGTGGGTATTTCTCATCAGGTGGGACGAGACTTAGAAAAGAAATAAGACACAGAGACAAAGTATAGAGAAAGAACAGTGGGTCCAGGGGACCGGCGCTCAGCATCCGTGACCCGCGCCGGCACTAGTCTCTGAGTTCCCTCAGTATTTATTGATCGCTATCTCTACTATCTCGGTGAGGGGGATGTGGCAGGACTATAGGGTAATGGTGGGGAGAGGGTCAGCAGGAAGAGATGTGAACAAAGGTCTCTGTGTCATAATAAGTTTAAGGAAAGGTGCTGTGCCTTGATGTGCACGTAGGTCAGATTGATGTTTGACTTTACACAAACATCTCAGTGCAGTAAAGAGCAGTATTGCCACCAGCACGTCTCAACTCCAGCCATAAGGCGGTTTTCTCCTATCTCAGTAAATAGAATGTACGATCGGGTTTTACACTGAGACATTCCATTCCCAGGGACGAGCAGAAGATAGATGCCTTCCTCTTAACTGCAAAGAGGCCTTCCTCTTTCACTAGTCCTCCTCAGCACAGACCCTTTACGGGTGTCAGGCTGGGGGACAGTCAGGTCCTTCCCTTCCCACGAGGCCGTATCTCAGGCTGTCTCAGTGCGGGGAAACCTTGGAAAATACCCAGGCTTTCTTGGGCAGAGGTCCCTGCGGCCTTCCGCAGTGCATTGTGTCCCTGGGTACTTGAGACTGGAGAATGGCAATGACTTTTACCAAGCATACTGCCTGCAAACACATTTTTAACACAGCACCTCCTGCACAGCCCTAAATTCATTAAACCTGGAGTCAACACAGCACGTTTTTTCGAGCACAGGGTTGGGGCTAGGGTTACAGATTAACAGCATCTCAAGGCAGAAGAATTTTTCTTAGTACAGAACAAAATGGAATTTCTTGTCTTCTTCTTTGTACATAGACACAATAACAGTCTGATCTCTCTTTCTTTTCCCCACACTTCCCCTCCACAGGCAAGGGCAGAACTGCAGAGGGGAGGTCCAGAGGGCAGGGCTGCCTATGGCAAGCAGTGAGCCGGGCACTGGGGCGGCTCCGGGCTGGGGCCTCTGGCAACCCTCAGCCTTTTGAGGTGGGTATTTTTGTCCCCAGTGTGCAGACAGAAGATCATTTTATTTTTGTTTTTATTCTGTTGAGACAGGGATCTCGCTGTGTTGGCCAGACTGGTCTCAATGTGCAGATAGATCAGAAGTTGGGTGACAAAGGTGTCCAGTGATGGGCCCAGAAATCCTGCCACCCTCCCAGAGCCCGGCCCTGTACTAGCCTGCCTGGGGCAGACCCACAGTGCAGGGGGCCAGGCAGCTGTGATGGGGGCAGCAGCAGCAGATGACAGTGGGGAGGTGGCCCTCAAGGCCTTCAGACACAAATGTCAGGGTGAGACCCCCCAGGTAGGGGCTGATTGGGAGCCTCAGTGGCCCCCAGAGCAGGGGCACAAGGGGAGGGGTCTGGAAGGTGGCGGCTTCCCCTCCAGCTGACTCCCGTCTGCAGACCCCTGCTCTCCCCAGGGCCCACAGGAGCTGCTTTGGCAGCATCCAGGCAGGAGGCTGGATGACGTTACCAGGCCAGTGTTTGGTCCAGGTTCCTCAGAAACCACACCTGGTTACACATGAACCACTGGGCCTGGAGGGGGTTTCGAAGGAGGCCCAGGCCTTTTATCCACAGAACATGAGCCCGCTCCGCAGGGCAGGCCCAGGGCAGGCTGCAGGTAGGCACCGGGAGCCATCCTTGGAGTCTGCTCCCAGAGTACAGCCGGAGGCAGCATTGCTTCCTCCCAGTGCCCTGCCGCTGACTTCTGCAGAACCCAAAGAGGAAGTGGGCTGAGGTCAGGAGAGGACAGGGGCTGACTGGGGTTCACAGAGCACAGTGGGGTAGGAGGCTGTGCTGGTCAGTGGGGAGGGGGGACTGCAGTCACGTGGTCCCTGCCAGGCATTTGGGCAGAGCAGCCTCCCCAGTGGGCATCTTCCTGCCTGTTCCCACCTTTCTTCAAATCAGCCACTGGTTCTCTGAAGCTGGTTTACTGGCTTTAACTATTAATTAATTAACTAAGAGATGGGGTCTTGCTATGTTGTCCAGGTGGAACTCCAACTCCTGGCCTCAAGCAGTCCTCCTTCCTCAGCCTCCTCAGTGCTGAGCTTTGTGGGTTGACTGGCTTTAAATCCTAATCCCACTTTGACCTCACTGGCTGTGACCTTAGGCAAGTTATTTAAGCTCTCTGAGTTTCAGTTTCCCCATCTGTGAAGTGTTCCCTCCCTCCTAGGATCCTGGGGAGAATTCAATGCGATGACACAGCTGCGCATCCACAGCATCGGCTCTTGTTAGGGGAGCCCCAGCACAGGCTCTGCACAGGGGCTCATCAGCTGGCGTAGAGGCGGTGGTTCTGCTTGAGGACTCAGGCTGGGGACTGGGGCAGGCTCAGATGGAGCAGGTGGGCAGGGCTGAGGAGGCTGCCTGGAGGAAGCAGCACTGGAGGAGTTGACCAGCCATAATGGACAGAGGCAAGTCGGAAGTTGGAACCAAGGGAAACCACCACTGAGTCACCAAGTCCTAACTTAGGCCCTTATAGGCACTTGGCCTTGACTCCACACCACAGCTGAGAGGCTGGGGAAGAGAAACCCAAGAGAAGCGGAAAGTCAGAACCCCCCAGGGGAGAAATTAGGGGGTGACTCAGGGGGGTGCACCATCAAGGGAGACAAGCACCCGCTCGAACACAGGCTGGGGAGCTGCGGATGGCTCTGGGTTGTCTCAGCGTTGAGAGCAGAAGGCAGGGAGGCCATGAGGCAGAGGGACAGGCAGTTGGTGGCCAGTGTGGTGGCCCCACAGGGATAGGAGCCCACAGAGTGGGAGGCCATGGAAGGCCTCTCGTCAGCTCACTCCTGGGGGCTCTCAGCCGCAGCTAGGGCAGGGACACAGAGGGGCTGAGGCTGGAACCCTGGGTTTCCATGATGGACCCTGAGAAGCCAATGCAAGGGCCACAAACACCGTGGCCTGGCCTGCCCCAGAGGCGAGAGAGTTGAGAGTGTTCCACAGGCTGCCGGGGCTCCAGAGCAGAGCTTGCTCTCAAGGAGCCTGGCCACCTCATTTTACCAGGCTGCAGTGGCTGAGTGACTGGGAAGGTGGCCTAGGGTCATTGCTAACTGGCTTGGGTTCGGGCATAGGCTAAACCCTAGGCTGGGTAGGGGAGTCTCTGTTCCTCTCCAAGCTCTGGTCCTGGGAGCTAAGGGCTGGAGGAAGAAAATCTGTGTCCCCTGCCCCCGCTCCCCTGCACACACACTCCACAGAGAAGCCAGCTGGGAATGGCATTGCTGAGACAGAACACCACTCCCGCTTCCCTTTTTTGCCTGTCCTCCAGCAGCACCTCCTCCAGTCTCCTGCTCAGGCTCCTCACCAGACTCCAAAGTGGGCCCAAGTCATCCGGTTCTCATTATGCCTTGGTTCCCAGGAGGGGATACATGACTCCCTCTCCCTCCTAGAAGCAGCTCTGCACTCAGGAGAACGTGCCCCCGTCGGGGGAGGCAGGGCCTGGGCGGAAGGCCACTTCTGCAGACTTTTCCAGGTCCCCATCTGCTGCACAGAGCTCTGGCTGACCCTAGCCCGAGCCTTTTAGGACGGCCCCTTGACCTGCGATTCCTTTCTGGAATTCATCTTAGGGCCCAGTCAGGGGTGTTTCCAGAGCAGTCTGCAATAACAAAATGTCTATGGCAAAGTGTACTCATAGAGGACTGGGCAGTGAGCCACGGGCCAGCCCTCTGGTGGATCCCCAGGGGCTGTCGAAGGGGTCCGGGACAGCAGTGACAGCCAGGCCTTGGCTCCTGCCGCCCTTCAAATGTGCCTGGGTGCGATGGCGACCCGCGGCCGGCGGGGCGGGGGGACCTTTGGTTTGTTTGTTATTATTTGTAGAGATGGTGGGGTCTCACTACGTTTACCGGGCTGGTCTCGAACTCCTCAGCTCAGAAGAACCTCCCGCCTCGGCCTCCCAAAGCGCGGGATCACAGGCGACAGCCACCACGCCGGCCGGCCGCCATGTGGATTTTGTACAGTCTTTCGATCTTCCAGCGACCAGCAAGTGTAAACAGAGCAGCTCACATGAGGCAAGAAGTCGCCCAGGAAACGTCCTCTGGGAGGGGCGGGAAGGGCAGCCTGGCGCTCCCAGGATCCCGTGCGCTGAGGGGGCGAAGCGGGGCGCGACGTCATCAGCGGGCGCGGAGCCGGAAGTGTTGTGGCCGCCCCCGTCGCGCGTCGCGGAGGCACGTGTGGAGCCCCGGCGGCGGGAGCGTCGCAGGTGAGACTCCGCGGGGCCCAGGGTGGCAGGGCGCGGGTGAGAGTGGCCCGGGCCGAGCGCGGCGCGCAAGTCCTGTTCCTCCAGCCTCGCATGGGTGGCCCCCGCCGGCCCGGCCTGGCCCCTTGCTGCCTCTGCACCGGCTGGGCGGTGTTTGCGTGGACGGCCAGCTCTGAGTCACCAGCCCCTTCCTGGGGAGCCCTTACCCCTCTGTCATACCCTGCTACCCAGCCCCTGTGGGGGAGACCGGGGCGAGGAATCAAGCCTGGCTTGGAGGTGACCTCATTGACCATTTGCCTCTCCCACGCCGGTGGACACCTCGGAAAGGCGCTTCCTCCTCTCACACCTGGGGAATGGGAGTCAGACTCATGGAGAAGGGTGATGGGAGGGTCGGGTCCTCACTCCGGAAATCCTTGGGACCGACCTCCGCCATTGCCAAGCCTCTGTCTTTTCATGTCTGCTTTAGGCTCATAGTCCCTGTCTCTTGTCCTAGACCAAGAAAGGCTTCAGAGAGGCCAGGCCAGAGTGCAGCGCTATTGGGCTCCCTGTCAGGCAGTTGCAGAGACTGAACTAGCCACACCCCGCCCATGCCCACTGCTGGGATGTAGGCCTCGAAGCCTTCTACCTAGACCCCAGACCCTCATCCTGCCTCCTGACTTGCTCATACCTACACACACCCCTCCCCAGGTCCTTGGCACTTGCCAGACATTAGCACCATGAGCTTCGTGGCATACGAGGAGCTGATCAAGGAGGGTGACACGGCCATCCTGTCACTGGGCCATGGTGCAATGGTGGCAGTGCGTGTGCAGCGTGGGGCACAGACCCAGACCCGGCATGGTGTCCTGCGGCACTCAGTTGACCTTATCGGCCGCCCCTTCGGCTCCAAGGTGACGTGCGGCCGAGGTGGCTGGGTGTACGTGCTGCACCCCACGCCGGAGCTCTGGACGCTGAACCTGCCGCACCGCACACAGATCCTCTACTCCACAGACATCGCCCTCATCACCATGATGTTGGAGCTTCGGCCCGGCTCTGTGGTCTGTGAGTCTGGTGAGTTCCTCAGGCTGCCTCAGTTTAACTCGGAAATTGACACAAAGGTGGAGGTCAGAGCCTCCAGCCTGCACTTCCTACAGACAGATGTGGCTCCTCAGTTTCTATTTTCACATCTTTCCGGGACGCGGACAGCAGGGAGTGAAGGTGGAGGCAGGGAAGCCCGTTAGGAGGCTGGTGCTGTAACTGGAGTGAGAGGTGGCTGTAAATGGACCAGGGGGAGCTGGGGAGGACTGGTGCTCTAGTGAGGGTCCTGCTTGCCTTGGTGGGGTGTGGCCAACTTGATGCTTGGCGCTGTCCTAGGTGCTGACCGTCAACCTCTAGTCCTCGGTGCTGATGGTGAAGCAGAGAGAGTTGCCCCTTCTGGAAAGAGGCCAGGGCTACCCCAAGGAGCTCACTGTAGGTGGAGAGTGTTCCCATCCTCATCCATGATCAGATCCTCACCTGCCACCAATGAATGTGAGCACCATTGTCATTGAGTCCAGGGCCTGGGCTGTGGGAACCCTGCACACATACAGGTGCTGCCCGGTGCAGTGATTGAAGCCAAGATTGGCCCCAGGCACTTAGGCGTCTAGGTTGTTGGTGGCATGTTCCTCACGGGCAGGAGAGCTAGGGTTCAGGTTCACGAAGAGTGCCTAGCACGGCCATGCTGGCTTTCTGAGGGCTGCAGGTCACCGTGTCCCTCTCTGGGGTGTCTGGGTGGGAGGGGTGGAGAGCAGGACTTAGCCAATCCCATCAGCTGCTGCTCCTGTGCATCCTGTGGCGGGTGCTGGCCTCTCCGCCCCTGCCCCACTCTCGCGAGAGAGCTCAATCAAGCAGCACGCTTCTTCTGGCCTCCTCAGATATGCCAGGTCCCCTCCTCGGAACCGTGAACAAGACAGACCAGGTTCCTGCCCTCGAGGAGCGGGGACATAGCCTGGGTGAGCGGCTCAGTGCCACTGGTTACTGTGAAACTTGTGAGACAGGGCTGCGTGTCTGAGGGGGACCCAGAGTGGGGTCCCTCCAGCTAGGCCAGGCAGGGAAGACCTCTCTGAGGAGGGGACATTTGAGTTGAACATGATGAGAGGGGGCCTGCGAAGAGCCGAGGGACAGCGCCACCAAGGAGGAACATGCCGAGGCCCTGCAGTTGGAGTGTGCTGCCGAGTCAGGCTCAGTGGGGGAGGCAGAGGGGCTGGGAGTGAGGTTGGAGGGGAGGCGAGCTCCACCCTGGAGGCCAGCAAGTCTGACTTGCCCCTGAGTGGGAAGGAGGCATGGCCAGGCTCTGCGGGGGGGAATAGGCAGCAGACTAGGAGCACCTAGGGGAGGGGCTGCTCCCTAAAAAGAATGTGGGAGGTGGCAGGACATGGGATGGGACAGAGGGAGTGGAAGCACCTCTATGGGTCTGGCCCAAGCGCTTGCGATGCTCAATGCAATTTGGGTTCGAGGGATGGGTAGCAAGTGTGCAGTAGCTGCTCTAGCAGGAGTCTCGAGTGGAGGGGCCTGGGGATGGGAGTGACATCAGGTAGATGACCCCTGAAGGTGGAGCAGGAGGAAGGACGCAGGCCCTGGCCCTTTCCACGGGACAGGAAGTCAAGCAGAGGGGCCATCCGGAGGGAAGCTGGGGCAGGTGTGCTGGGGAGGACTGAGGCTGTGTGGCTGGTGGCCAGGCCCTGTGTCCTGAGTCCAACCAGGCCACGGCAGAGCCCCAGCCCCCGTGTGGTGGGGTCAGGCTTAGGCAGGCTTGGTGGGGGTGGGCTGGACCAAGGGGACCAAGGAGCTTCTGGGGAGAGGTGGGCATGAGGACGGGCAGGGTAGGCCACCGTTGATGGGGACTGAGGAAGGGATTGGCCATGCCTGGAAGGAGACAGGGCTGAGCGATGGGATGGGCCTCTCTGTTCCCCCTGCACATATTTCCCCTGAGGCTCCAGTCAGCTGGGCTGCTTTCAGTGCCTATACATGCGCCAGGCGGGATAGGGCAGGGTTGCCACTGGCCTGGCCTGTGCCCACAGCGGACACCACAGCATACACAGCCTGTCAACCCCAGCTCACCCCTAGACAGGGCGCCCAACCCAAGGCTAGCCCAGGGCTCTAGGCAGCGGGGACCACACAGCCCTGGAGTAACGCCCGCCTGTAATCTGGGGTCCTCCCGAGCACTGTGTGGGTCTCCAGGGTGAGGTGGGGGTTGTTTCCTGGGAGGCTGTGGGTCCCGAGCAGTCCCAACTGATGCCTTGCTCTTCCCATCTTGTCCTGCCAGGCACCGGCAGTGGCTCTGTGTCCCACGCCATCATCCGCACCATTGCACCCACGGGCCACCTGCACACGGTGGAGTTCCACCAGCAGCGGGCAGAGAAGGCCCGGGAGGAGTTCCAGGAGCACCGTGTGGGCCGCTGGGTGACTGTGCGCACCCAGGATGTGTGCCGCAGCGGCTTTGGCGTGAGCCACGTGGCCGACGCCGTCTTCCTGGACATCCCGTCACCCTGGGAGGCTGTGGGCCACGCCTGGGATGCCCTCAAGGTCGAAGGTGCACTAGGGGTTCCGGGAGAGGTACAGCCCGGGCGGGGTTGGGGCAAGGGTGCAGGACTGAGGGGTCCAGAAACCAAGCCACACCATGGCAGTGGCTAGGCCAGGGCCTCGTCTTGGCCTTAGATGAGAAGTGGGTCAGGCTGGCCAGGGGAGGCAGAGCTGGGGAGGATGGGCCGATGGGGAGGATGTCAACCCCCGATCGGGAAAGGTGGCAGTGCCACCCAAGTGCAGGGCAGGCCCGGCTGGCGGTGTGTGGAATCCCCTGCCCCTGCTGTTTCCCGAAGTCTCTCCTCCCACGAGCTCTGGAGCCCAGGGAGCTGGCCCCTTTTAGGGAAGATGCTGGGTGCGGAGGCGGGGCAGCCCTGGGGAAGGTCGGGCCTCAAGCCAGGGAGGTGGCTGGGATGCCAAGGTTTTTCCCTTTTCTGGAGAAGGAGCAGTTCAGGCAGCAGGGGCCCCTTCTTCCCAGCTGAGAGTTGCATTGTGAGAGGGTGGAGGGTGGGGGTGTGGGGCGCCCCGCCCCACCTCAAAGACTAGCCGAGGCCCTGTACGGACAGCAAGGCCATGGCCGGGGATTCCCTGCTGGCTCTGGCCCAGCGCTGACTCCTGGGTGCTGGTCTCTGCTGAGGCCTTGGGGTAGCTGTGGGGATCTCCACGCTCTGCCTCCTAGGCTCCCTGCTCTGGGGACACTTCTGGGCCTGGACCGTAGTCCCGGGGAGGCTGAACCCGGCAGAACCCCTCCTGGGGCCCCCATGCTGCCTTTGTGACTCCTTCCTCCGGAGTGGCCCGGGGAACCAGCGCCTGCCTCTGGGACCTGTCCCTTCTCCTGCCAGCTCCCCCTTCTGGGTCCAAAGGCTCCAGGCTCATTCAGGGGCCTGGCATCTCCTGCTGGTCACTGGAGCCCATTGGGGAGGGTGCGGTGCGCTCAGCCTCGGTGCCCTGTCTAGGCTGTTGTCACACAGAAGGTGCCTCCTCTAACCCTGAACCTCCCAGCGGCCCCGTGTCAGGGTACACCTGAGGGGACCAAGCCTCAGGGACATTTGAGGACATTTGTCTGGGCCATACCTCTACCCGGCCCTGGCTTCCCCAGGTCCTCCCAGCCAGGACAGGAACTGACCCGGGCTGGGTTCTCATTCGCTGCAGGCCAGGCCAAGCGAAGCCCGCGGCTGCCCTGGTGGGAGGCGGCAGGGAGGGGCTGTCATGCTCAGGCTGTGCTTCGAGTAGGCGCCTCCTGTTCCCGGGAGCAGTGACAGCCTCTGATTTCCTGTGACAGCAGCGGCCCCCGCACCGCCCCGCGCTGCCATGCTGTCAGAGCTACTCTGGGCCCAGCGCTCCAGCAGCCCCATGGAAGGCAGGAGAGCAGTGCCCACTGTGGGCCAAGTGAGACAATGGCGGCACAAGCTTGACCCAGTGCCTGGCATGTGGGAGGGCCTAGTGCAGCTAAGCTGGGTGACATGAACAGTGGCGCCAGGCCCCATGGTGGGCTGCCAGTTGAGGGCCAGGCCCCTCTGCCCTGCATCCCAGCTCTCTGGAGAGCTTGCAGTCTGCGTTGGGACCATCTTAGGTTGGCCTCAGACCCTAGGGTGGGAGTTCAAGGATGCCAGGGCCAGACAGGCCACTTCTGCCCTCTGACCCTCGCGTCCTGTTTCCCACAGGTGGGCGCTTCTGCTCCTTCTCGCCATGCATCGAGCAGGTGCAGCGCACGTGCCAGGCGCTGGCGGCACGTGGCTTCTCGGAGCTGAGCACCTTGGAGGTGCTGCCACAGGTCTACAACGTGCGCACTGTCAGCCTGCCACCACCCGACCTGGGCGCAGGCACAGATGGCCCTGCCAGCCCTGACACTGGCCCCTTCCGCAGCGGCACGCCTATGAAGGAGGCCGTGGGCCACACTGGCTACCTGACCTTCGCCACCAAGACCCCAGGCTAGGGCGCCGCCACCCAGGGCATCAGGGAGCTGGGAGCACCGAAGGGCTGGGCAGGGAGGCCAGAGGCACCTTATATGGTCTGCAATGCCTGCCAGACACAGATGGTGGGGCGGGGCTTGGGGGCCTCCTGGGTGGCCAGAGTGGGACGGCAGGAGGGGTGGCTATGATGGAGGAGGAGTGCTGGGGCTGGGCCTCAGCCATTGCTGTCCAGTCCCGCGACCCATCCCAGCTGCTGTTTGTTGCCAATATGAAGTCTCCACTGTCACAGGCTCCCCTGGATGTTGAGGCCAAAGGGTGCAGGTGGGGGAGTCTGACCCCCTCCCAGGTGGGCCTAAGCAGGAAGAGGGTGGGGGAGGGAGGGGGCATTGTCCCCGAGGCCATGCTGCATCTGACCCCTGAGCCCCCACGGCCCTGGCTGCCCCACAGGGCCTGAGACCATCTCGTGTTTCTCCAGTTCCCGGGCTGAGGCTCCAGCCTGGGCCAAAAGCTGGGATGAGATGACCCAGGATCCCTGCCCTCCCCTCCCCAGTGCTAGGAGACCAGGCCAGCCCAGGAACCAGGGAGGTGACCCTGCTCTCTGGCCTTCAGGCTGACGTCACAGCACTGGGCTCAGCCCAGGCCTGCGTCCACTCAAGTCCAAGAGGCGGGGCAGCCCCCACCCAGCCAGAGCCCCTTGACACAGGCCAGGCAGCGCTGCGGAGAGCAGCAGCAGAGCGGGTTGTTCGCCACAGGCGACCAGGCAAGCGTGTCGGGGCTAGGGTGTGAGTGCCAGCCTATGAGTCCCGGAACAATGTGGGCACCCCTACCCCTCACAGAAGCCAGGGGCATGGAGGAGGCCCCCCCACGGGACAACAGTGTAGGGTCCAGGAGGTGTGTCCAGGACACCTTCCAGGGACAGTGCCTATGTGAACACCTCTCAAAGGCTAAGGGGGCATTTTCCAAAGCGGGGACAGAGGGTGGGACGCCCAGGCTGGGGGGCTCTCCTCGCCCGCCCTGGTGTGTGACAGCCTCAAGGGAGGACCGGTGCCTATGTCAGCCATGGGGTCCTTGGAGCTGCCACTGGTGCCTAGGGGGCCTGGGTTTCAGCCCATGGAGTCAGCGGCTGTTGGGAGCCTCAGCGGCTGTAGGGGCCTTGAGTGCTGTGCTGGCAGGCGCCTGGCCCTGAGTGTCAGTGATGAGCAATAAACGTGCCGTCCCCTCTGTGCTGCATGATCCCTAGCGGCCAAGGCCACCCCCACCCGCTGTCCAGGCCAGCCCTGCCTGCGCTCTGCCCCTGGTCCCTGCTCCTGCCTGTCCTGGTTTGGCATGATGGGTGCTCCAGACTCCAGGACAAAGGGGCAGATGTGTGGCCATCCCCTTCTGGCTGCAGAAAAGCCCACTTGTCCCTGGGGTTGGGGTGGTCCAGGAGTGCTGGGCCTTCCTCCACAGCCCCGGGCTGGAATATTCAGTGTGGCTGCCTGGGTTACTTGCATGAGCCCCTGAAGGAAGGGTCCACCCCAGGCCGCCTGGTCCCCACGAAGTGTCACACTGTGGGTCACTGGGGGCTGTGGCTTATGTGGTCGGGGAGTCCTGTGTCCCTGAGGGTTGCTCAGCCCTGTTCTGAGGGCTTGTCCTCTCCTTCCAGGACACAAGCCTTCCCTCTAACCTTGTTCCTCACCTGGGGCACAGAGGAGGGGCCCCCGGTCAGGTTCAACATGGAAGTGGGTGACCCTAATGCCAGGAGCTTTGGGGTTAGGCTGTGCCTGGGGTGTCATGAACTGGGTGGCTCACACCCCGAGGTCTCAGTTCCCCCAAGCCTGCCCTGCCCCTCCTGGCCACAGCAGAGGCCTGCATGCTGTCTGACAGGTGAACACCAGGAGGTGTTTCTTTGAGGCGCAGCTCCACGGTTTATAGGACACGTAAGCCTCAGGCACTGTAGGGTCCAGGTTGTGCCCATTTTCCAGCCAGGACTGGTAGCCCATGTGGCGGCCCTGGGTGAGTCACCAGGATCCGCACATGGAGAGTGGAATCCACCCTTAGTTGTCCCAGCCCACCCTTAGTTGTCACGTGGGACAGAGTCGCTGTCTCAATCCTCTCGGCCCTGCTGCTCTGCCCTGCACACAGGCCCCCATGACGACCTTGAGCCTCCAGGCATCCACCGCCACCCACCATATAGCTGGGCCTCACCCCACTCCCTCAGCTTGGATCCTCACCTGGCCTTGAGCCAGCCTTAAACTCCTTTATGTCCTTCAAGACCCCTTCAAATGTCCTTTCCTCAGCATGCTTCCCCAGACCATCTAATGCCCAGGCGGGAGAGTCCTGCACACCATGGCCCGAGGGAGCCCCCACAGCAGAGGAGCACAGCCCAGTTCTGTGATGGGAGCCTGACTTCCAGGGGCAGCGCTGGGCCCATGGCCGGGAGTGACCCATCAGCAGGCCCCGATGATCAGCTCGAGTCAGCAGCACGGGCTCATCATGGGGCAAGGATTCACCAGAAACGCCCTCCCTGGCCCAGTGTGTACTCGCCTGGGCCTCAGATTTTCCCTGGAAATTCCTCCCCCCTCGCCCTGCTGTCCTGCACTGAGACAGTGGCACATGACTCCCGGCTGCCCACGCCCTGGAAGGTCCCAGGCCCTGGCCCTGACTCACCTGCTTGGAGGGTCCCAGTCCTGGGTACTGCCCTAGAGCCAGGGTTAAAGTCCCCTCCCTCAGGAAGCCCCAGGGTGTGAGCTGCTCCTGGGCCTCCCTCTGCCCCAACCATGCCTGCCTCAGGGCCCAGCCCCTCACCCAGGAGCCCCAGAGGGCTGGGCCCAACCAGGGCTGCACGGGTGGGGACCAGGACAGGATTTCTGAGTGGGCGGAGGGCAGCAGGCCGCTGGGGGCACACCCTGTCTAGCAGAATGTGATGAGGCGGGGTTGCCCCTGAGGACCCAAGAGGCCCTCACCCCTGCAGTCTAGGTCTGGGGCTGTCCCCCTTCCATTGCCCCCTCTGCCTCCATTGCGGCTTTGCTCTCTCCACCCACCGCCTCTGGCCCAGAAGATGGAGGGTAGGTGGGCTGCCAGGGGACCCGAGCCCCCCCCAACAGTCCACTGCACAGGTAGGGAAACTGAGGCACAAAGCTGCGACTCCGGAATCCTGGCCATAAGTGGTTCCCCAGTGCATGACCCTAGAGAGCAGAGTTTTCAGGCAGAGTCCTGGAAGGTTCCTCAGGAGACACCTGTGCAGGGGGACGTTGGAGAAGGGAGGGCAAGCCCTGCAGGTGGGGTGGGTGGTGCCCCAGAAGTGGTGGATGGAGAGGGTGCACCTCCAGCCTCTGGGCTGGCAAGTGCTGTTTCAAGAGCTGCTCTAAGCAGGGTGAGTGCTGGACTCAGTGCCCCCACAGCCTCGGGAGGCTGGAGGGGCCCTGAGCAAGAGGGTCCCCAAAGAGGGGCCTGGCTCCTGATGCCCTCAGGAGGGAGGGAGCAACTGCCGGGCCTCACGCCCTGTCCTCACCAGCCACAGAGGGTGGGCGCTGTCACCAGCAGGCATGGGTTGAGTGCCTCCCACGTACCAGCCCCTGCCCTTCAAGGCTCCCAGGAGCCAGACCCAGATCTGGGCACACAGTGCAGGGCGAGGTCTGGATGCGGGAGTGGCAGTGGTCTGGACCCTGTGTGGTAGGTCTGGGTCGGTGTGGGGTCGGGGAGTGGACGGGCCTTTCTGTCCCAGGGGCTCTGCGCACGGCCCGCTCCTGGACACTGGAACTGAGCCTTGAGAGAAGTCGCTTCCCGAGGTGGCCAACGGGTTGGTGGCAGACAGGCTGGGTGCCGGGGTGTGTGGACCCCAGAGCCAGTGGGTTGGGCCCTGCAACCCACTGTGGTTCATCAGTGAGCAAGGAGGGGCACAGTGGGGCCAGCCTGCTGCCCTGCCCCAGCAGTGGCCTTGCCAGCCCGTGGGCCCTCCCCACGCGGAGCCTCCATGCCCAGGGGAGCCTGCGTGGCCCAGCCCGTCAGCCAGGACGAGGGCGTTTCAAAGTCAGGCTGCCTCCGAAGCGGTGGTGTTGGCGGGAGGGAATAACTGGCTCCCACCAGGCTGAGAATAGCTCAGAATTGGGTCACGCTCACCGAGATCTCCGGTCACAGCCTCCAGCCTTTGACAATAATCAGCTTTCTCCCTGACATCTGTCCCTTCAAAGAGGGGGCAGGCCGGTGCAGGCACTTCTAGAAGCAGCAAAGCAGAGGGGACGGGAGCGGGGAGGGGCATCCCCCCCTCCTGGCCCCCCATGGCAGGCCCCCTGCCTCCCTCCCGCCCACCCCGTGCTCCCTTCCGTGCCTCAGGACCCACCAGCTTCCCGCACAGGGTCAGGTCAGGGAGCAAAGCACGGCAGTGTCCTCTGACAGATGAGGACACCGGCTGGGGGCTGCAGGGAGGGTGGTGCCTGTGCCTGGCCCTCCCGTGCTCTGGCAGCCATGCCCCTCAGCTCCTGAGACTCAGGGGCTTGCATGCCACTGCCCCAAGCCGCCCTCCTCTTGCTCCTCCCAGTCTGTCCTGGGCTCTTTTAACGTGGTTGAAGGGCATGGGTCAGAGCAGGCCGTCCTGCCCCGCCAGGCTTTTGGGGCCTTGTGTTTCCCCCAGCCCAGGACTTCACCCCATGTCTTGTTTCCTATCCATTTTCCCGTGTTGGGCCCTCCTCACCCCTTGAGAGGGCTGAGGTGGGTGCTGTCACAGGCCCTCAGAGCCCGCATCTGTGCCATCACCTGCGTATGCTGCCACCAGGTGGGTGCTGAAGCCATCTTCATAGCAACATAGGTGCCTCCTGCATAGAGCGATAGATATGCCTACCACATGCCAGGCACGCTGATTTTGGTTCTTTAATCTTTAAAAACCCACAAGGCAGTTCTTCTCGTGTTCCAGGTGACACCATTGCTAAACTTTAGTCACAGATATGTTCCTGAAGTGCCTGTGACACTGAGCATCTCAAGATGTGGCCCCTGGACTGCCTGCTCAGCATTGTCCCCACCCCACCCCTGCTGCTCAGCGTCATCCCCACCTCACCCTGCTGAGCCGGAACTCCAGGGCAGGGCCCAGGGTGCCCCCTTTCTCCAAGCCTCCAGGTGGCTCTGGTACTCAAATCTGAGAATCACTGCTGGAAGACCCGGGAGTCTCGCAAACATTTCTTTTTATTTCTTAAACAAAAACCCCCTTTATTAACTGAAGCGGCAGCTCTCTGGCAGCTTCCTGCACGCGGCCGGTTGATCCTCTGAGGCTGCGCGGTCAGCTGCAGCTCAGTTTCTCCCGGTGTGGCTGGACTGTCTGCTTCTGAGCCCCAGACCCTGTCGCTCCCTGCTGCTGCACTGCAAATGCCCTCGTGCTCCCAGAGAGAAACTGAGGCAGTAACAGCAGGTCGCTGTGCGCAGACCCCACGGGGCCCCAATTTGAATAAACCAGTGTCTTTTACAAAATAGGAAAGTTGGGAAGTTTGAAGCTTGAGTGGCTGTTTTGTGAGTTTAAGGCGTGGCCACATTTGCGGGCATGCTGACAAAGTGCTGGGGAATGACAGGGTGGCTGAGATCCAACTCTGAATAACAGGGCTGGGGAGGAAGGGGAGCAGACTTCAAACCAGGCTGGCCACAGACTCCTGGGAGCTGTGTGCAGGATTCTTCACACGATTCTGCTGGTGCATTTCTTTGACAATTTCCAAAAGTTTTTATTTTTAAAAAAAGGAGGCTGGGTGTGGTGGCTCATGCCTGAGGCCAAGATGAGAGGATCGCTTGAGCCCAGACTGGGCAACACAGGGAAGTCCTGTCTCTACAAATAATTAAAAAATAAAAAAAGGAAAGATGCACCAGGCCAGTGGCCAGCACTGGTAGCTGGCAGGACCCAGCCTGTCACCCAGGGTGCTGGCACGGCAGACGCAGGCTGAATGTGGTCTGGGGCCTGGCCCCTGCCTGGAAGCCCTGGACCTGCAGAGACACAGGCCCTGGGGAGGAATGCAGGGCCAGCTGTGGGTGGGGGGCTGGCCATGGATGGGGTGGGGACAGTGGGGGCGACAGGCTTGTTGCTAAGCTACGGGCACAATGGACATTCCGGGTGCCCGGCAACGGGGAAGGAGACGCTTCTTAGAGGGGGAACCCTGAGGGGCCCAGGCCACACTTGTCCCTCAGCAATGCGCACACCCCCACCCTCAGGCCATTGAGACTCACTGGCTGCCTGGCCTCTCAGGGTAAAGGGCAGCCGCCCTCCTGGTGGGGCTTCAACACGCCCTGACGCCAGCCTCCACCCAGCTGGGGACCTGGTCGGAATGTGCCCTTGATGGCTCCTGCAACCCCGAGCCCTGGCCTGCTCACCTCCTCGTGGCCTCTGTCTTGGGGCCGCTTGTGCTCCCCGCCTCTCCTGCCTCTGACTGTGCCTGCCTGGCCGGTGCCCCCAAGTGCAGGCGTGGGGCCCTCGGAACAGGGCTTGGAGTTCTGGTAGAGCCTCCATCCCCTGCCACCCCTCTCCTGGCCCCAGACTCAGTAGCCCCTAGCCCTGCCAGCCAGGCTCTGCCAGAGTCACACTGCAGGGCCCCTGGCCTCTGTGGCTGTCTCTGTCCAGCCACCTCTGGAGGGTGTGTGCCACTCCTTCAGGCTCCACATCCCCCCTCCGTGGATGGCCTGCTAAGGAGCTCTGGGCCCAGCCGGTGGCCAGGAGGAGCGAGGCTAGGAGTTCACCGTGCCTGGCGGCCCTCCCCACCTCACAGACGGTTCCTGAGCGTCTGGGCACAGCGGCCAGCCCTTGCCCTTCCCCCACACACACCCTGTGTCCCTCAGCATCGCACTGGTTGGGCCTCAGCCCTGCCTCTTCCCCCAGCCCTGAGGGTAGAAGTCGGACCCCAGCTGCTGCCGAGGTCCTGGCTCAACCACACATTTCCTGTGCACAGTTCTTTCTGTCCTGGGTGGGCCAGGCGCACAATAGGCGCTCCGTGAACACATAGTGGAGCCCGCCAGGCAGTGCCACCACCCTCTCATGCTCTCTGTCTCCGCTGCTGTTTGCATGGCTTTTGCCACCCTGGTCTCTGCCACCCAGTCCTTGCTGGCCTCACTGGGCCAACCCTTTGCCTCACACCAGGAGGTGTCCAGTGCCCTCTGGAGGGACGCCTCCTCTGTGCACTGCCTGGGGGAGGCAGGGAGGCGGGGCGGGGGCAGGTCCTAGCCCCACCACCCTGGGCGGGGCTTTGGCCAAAGGCCTTGCCCTCTCTGAGCCTCAGTGCCCTGCCCCGTCCCGGGGTACCCTCAGGAGCTCCCGAACTGGGCTCGTGGGAGTCTCCTTGGGGCTGGCATGGGAAGTGCCCAGGAGTGCCCCAGGCCTGCCAGCCCCTCACTCCACCATGTGCACGCTAGGGAGGTGTGGTTTTAGCAGCTGGTCCACACATCTGGATGGTTGCTCCCAGAGCCCACCTCACCAGGGTCAGACTGCCCAGGCAGCTCCTAACACCTCAGGTTCCCCACGCCTTCCTGCAGCTGCCATCCCCACCCCCAGAAGCTCGCCTGCCTCTCCTGAGGACCCAGGCAGACAGCTGGACACAGACCCTCCCCAGGGGAGGCGTCTGGAGGGGCCTGCCCCTCAACAGGTGTTGCCACTTGATCAGGAGCAAAGTCAGGGTTGGGGCTGCTCCCGCCCCTCCCCTGCTCTGTGCCCCCCGCTGCAATGGAAGCCTAGGCTCCTCCAAGGCTGAGCTGGGGCCCCTCAGCGTCTCTCCTGGGGACAAAGAGGCAGCTGCCAGCAGGGCGGGGCGGGGAGGGTGGCCTTTGTGCGCGCCGGGCCCCTCCTGGTGACCTCACCACCGGCCAGAGAAGGGCCCTTTCTTCCCAAAGGCAGCCGTTGGGAATCCGCCTGGGGACAAAGCCGCTGCCAGGCAGGGGACCAGCGAGTGGCTGGCTCCCCTGGTAGCATAAATTAGGGGGGGCTAGGGTGGGGGAGGGGATGGCAAGCACTTCTGTCCCTGGAAGAGGGTCACTTGGTGCAAACAAACAAGCAAGCCCCCAACTTACACGTGGGGTGCATGGAGCCACCCCTCCAAGCTTCATTCATTCATTCGGCCCATTCCTTCGTTCCACAGATGGCTGCTGGGCGCTGGCCCAAGAGGCTGTGTGAGGGCCTTGGGGACACAGGGGATGCATCTGGTGGATGAGGGAGCAGTGGGTGAGGGGCGGGGGTGCCCAGTCTGGAGAGGGAACTAGGACAGACGAGTCAGAGCTGCCCAGAAGCCCCAGGGCCTGGGTTGGGGCAGGCGGGAAGATCCATGCTGAGCACGGTCACCCAGCAGGGCAGTGGCCACAGCCGCCCAGCCCAAGTCCCAGGCCTCCAGGAGAGCTCAGGAAAATATTTGATTTTCAATGTGTGGTGTGGAGTGGCACCCACCCCCCATGTGTGGCCAAGGACTTCCTGTCCCGAGAGTCTGGGTGACCCACAAAGTGTCCTCACAGCCTTGCTGGCCCTCGGCCTGGCTTCCAGGCCCCCCGCAGGACACTGTCCCCCTCCCCCACCTCCCTGTCTCGAGACCTCGAGACCTGGGGTCCGGTGGCCCAGGGTGGCCAATGCAGAGCGCAGTGTGGCCAGCATAGAGAGACAGGTGGCCTGAGAGTCCCACAGATGCCCAGTGCTACTCAGGCCCAGCTCCCAAGGCCTGTTCCTCTGCCTCCCAGGCCCTGGGCATGTGCTCCATCCCCAAGGCACTGAGCACATCAGGCCAGACCAGGTGGGCTTCCTGCAGGAGGAGGCAGCAGGCCCAGGTCAGGCTGGGTCTGGGAGGCAGGCACAGGGTGTGCTGGTCAGCAGGGCTCACTGCCAGGCCCAGGAGGTGTCCTGGCCATGCAGATGACAGAAGGCCGAGTGGGTAGGCCAGAGGGTGTGAAGGGCCTTGTCCTGTGAGCAGGGCATGCAAGCAGCTCCTGGCCTGTCCTCCAGCCTTGACACCTGAGGTCTGAGCTTGCCTTGCAGTCATCAGCAGAGCCAAGGCTCCCGGATTTCCGGGGCTGGGAAAACTTCAAAGCCTTACAGAGCCACCAGGTCCACAGCTGCCCAGGGCAGGGGGCGCCTGCTGGGTGCTGGACCTCCCTGCACCCCGTCTTCATCCCCGTGTGTGGATGGGCAGGAGTGTCTGCAGGCCTGGGCCCCGGCCAGGAGGAGGCCTGAGGCTTCCGGGGCACCGAGCGACCACAGGCTGGGGTGTGTGGCTCCCCCAGGAGCCCCAGAGGCCCTGTGCCCCCTCCCCGGCGGTGGAGTGAGATGGGCGGGGGCGGTGTAAGTAGGCCAGTGCTTTGTGCAGCGTTGCCATGGCGCCACCGCCGCCTGTGCAGGATCCTCTGGGCGCGTTTCCAGAACGCAGAGCCTGCCAGTCGGCCCTCCCAGCCCTGGCCAGGCCCCATCCCAGTCGGGGGGCCCCAGAGCCTTCTCCACCCACAGGCTGCTGGGGGGCAGACTAATTGTCCCGCTTCGTTACACCCTCAAACCCCCAGCGCATACATGCTCACAGCCACACAGCACACACACATGCACACAGGAATGTGCACACGCTCACACATAAGTGTACACGTGCCACACGCAGGCACACACCCCACAGCCACAGGCAGGCACTCAGTCCTCAGCGTGCCCCAAGGCTGCAGCCTCCAGGTTCACACCCAGGTCCCAGGGGCCCCAGGCCAGTGTGGGGTCTCCCAGCACGGCACACGTGGTGGTGGGCATGAACGTGCAAGGCCAGGGCCTGCCCCATCTCACCTGCTGAGACTGAGAGGTCATTGCTGACCTTGGGGAGGAGGCTGGGGGCCTAGAATTCAGGGGACAAGCTGGCCTGAACCCCACTCCCCACCACTGGGCCTGTGGGACAGCCTCGAGGCCCTATGCTGTGAGGGCTGGGATTTCTGATGCCGGCGAGCTGAGGCTGGGCCTCACCGGCCACTGGACACCAAGCGCCCCATTAGATGCTCACAGCCCCACAGTAGGGTGGGCACCACCAGCCCTACAGGAAGGACAAAGTGGCCTGGAGATGGCATGGAGGGGGCCGGGTGGCATGCTTTGCCGGGGTGCAGCAGGAGGGTGTGGTCTCGATGCATGAGAGGCCCTGGGCGGCCCAGCCTGACTCCCGTTGTCAGCTGACGTCACAGGACGGAGAACCTGGGTGTCTGGGGAGACAGATGGCCCTGGGGTCCCTGGCTGCCCTGAAACCTGCTGACGAGGACCCCACCAAGGGGAGGGACAGCTTCCTTGCAGTTGATATCCTGGAGAGGGGACAGGCTGTAGGCTGGGGGGTGGGAACGCTGGGAACACGCAGGCCCTCTCTGAAGACCACAGCTGGGCCCTCTGACCCCTGCCTCAGGCTCCAGCCCAACAACACAGAGCTGGCCGAGTTCCTTGCCCCACGCGTGCCGCTGCTGGCTCCTGAGGGGCCAGTGGATGGGGACCCGGCGGTCCCTTCCCAACAGGAGGCCCACGGCTCTTGGCACTGCTGCAGAGGCTGCGGCTTCCCCAGGAGCGCGTCAGTCCTTTGGGATAAACGCTGCTGCCTGTTAGAATCTCAGGCCCCTGGGATAGGCTGGAGCTGAGGCTGACGGGCGGGGCCCTCGTCACCCAGCAGTCCCCCTGCAGCCCTCCTGAGCGTGACGCTGTGCGAGATGTGCCCAGAGGTGCTCTCAGGAGGCAGGGCTGGGCTCGGGGCAGGGCAGGAGTGGGCACCGAGAGGCCCCAAACAGCTTCCTGAGGGAGAGGGGGCTTCACAGAGGCAGCTGCCTCGGTGACCCTGGGGCAGGTGTGTCTGCTGGCACCGAGGTCTTTTAGGGCAATGAGGGAGAAAGGGCAAGGCAGGGAGACAGGGGCGTAGAGGCCAGGCTGCGGGGCCTGGCTTGTTCCTGCAGCTCCTGCCACCAAGAAGCCAGGCTGCGGGGCAGGCGCTGATTCTCCATCACCACACCCAGAGCCCCCGCGGGGCCCAGCGAGGCACAAGGCAGCCAGTGCCATGGCCCCACACCCTGCCCACTAGCTGAGCTGTGCAGCATGGAGGCAGCTCCGGGGGCAGCTGTGCACAGCAGTGACCCCTGCCTGCTGCACGGCTGCCTGAGCTGTCCTGGTTGCTGCCAGCACCACTGTGCAGTATGGTGACCCCATTGGCCAGGGACGGGCCCCGCACACAGGAACGTGTCGGGGGAGTCACCAAAGGCTTCTTGCCAGAAGTGGCATTTGGCTTGGGGTGTGGAAGAGGAGCACAGATTACCCAGGAGGGCCAGGCCAGGGTCCAAGGAAGGGGCCACCTGTGCAGAGACGCAGGGCTGATCGCACAGGCCTTGCCCATAGGCCCTGCCACGGGGAAAGACAAGCCCCTGCCAGCCGGCTGGGAGCCACCACCATCCTGACGACAGAACCACGCTGGCAGGCAGGGCAGGCTGCCTGTGGCAGAACTAGGGGGTTGGGAGGTAGGTTAGAGACCGGCATATCTGTGGGGACTCCATAGATGGTGGCAGGCGGTCATTGGATGCCCCGCGCAAGCGCCATCCACCCCCAGAACAGAAGCGCAGCTCAGGCGAGGCCATGGCCACCTGTCCACCATTGGCCAGGGCAGGTGCACCCGGCGTGGCCCAGGCAGGATAGCTGCGCCAGCCGGCTGGCCCCAAACCACTTCCGGTGTTCTGGGCTCTGCAAAACCTGACCTTGGGCGCCGCCTGGTGACCAGACGTGGGAGAACCAAGCAGGCAGGTGGGGGCCTGGAGGGGCAGACGCTTGGCGTTTGGGGGACCTCCAAGGTCAGGGAGCCGCATGCTGTGCAGGTGAGCCACCCTGCAAGCCAGGGGCTGTAGGGAGGGCGGTGGGTAGCAAGGGTCTGTCTGGGGTCCTCCCTCCACCCATCCTGGCCAGCGCCGATGCTGAGCTGTGCAGGGCCCATGTGCACTGGCACTGGGTGAGGGAATGGGCCAGAACGGCCCAGGCCATGGTCCCCACCCCGGCAGGGACAGGCCTCGCACATTCAGCTAGAGGCACCCCCTGGGGCGTGCTCTCGGGTCTGCCCTGGCACAGACCTACTGCCGGTGTGGGCGTCCATGGCAGTCACTCGGCCAGGCCTGGGAGAACCCAGCGCAGGGGCAGCCTGGGACTAGTGCTGTGCTCTGTGGGAGCCACTGATCCAGGATGCAGTCCTGCCCTTGTTGGGGCCTGCTGCCCCAAGGCCTTGTGGGATCTGGCCCTCCAGACTCTCACCTGCCTGCCTGGCTCCAACCTGGGGGTCCTTGCTCCAGCGGTCCAGCCTGCACACTCTTCCCCAGGCCCACATGGCCTGCTCCACAGGACCACCTGCATAGCCACGTTGGTGCTGGGATGCCTGCTTTCCCTTTGAGGGGCTGGGTCAGGATTAAGGGCTAGAAGATGCCCTTTCCTGGGAGATGAAACCTGGATGCACAGAGGAAGGGGCACACACACCCAGGAGCCCCAGGCTGCCAAGAGCACCCTGGGCTTGCTGTGGCCATCTACAGGCAGTGCCCAGACCAGACCGCAGCCCAAGAAGGCAGCTGGGTGCCTCGCTGCCCCACACCTGCACCCTGACATCCCCAGTACGTTTTTAAATTTGTGTGTGTGTGTGATGGTCTCGCTCTGTCGCCCGGGCTGGAGTACAGTGGCGTGATCTCGGCTCACTGCAACCTCTGCCTTCTGAGTTCAAGCAATTCTCATGCTTCAGCCTCCCGAGTAGCTGGGGCCACAGGCACCCGCCACCACGCCCGGAACCTTTAAGAAGCAGCGCCCTCTGCTCTCAGCGAGGCCCAGTGGGTTCTGCTGCCCAGGCCTCTACAACTCCGCCCCATGGCTGACCCCTCCTCCTGCCAGCCAGGCTGGATCCCTGGGCACCCCCATCCCCTGGTGCTGTCCTCACTGCCCCCAAATCCTTTCCCTGACCCCCTCGCCCCACCCCACTGCTGCCCCCAGGGGCACTCAGCAAAGCCTCCAAATCTCCCTTGGCTCGTGGGGCCCAGAAAGCCCTGGCAGTCCTGGCACTGTCCCCTACCCGCTGCCTGAAGTTCTTCCAGGGCCTCCAGTATGCCCAGCCCTGGCTCTAGGCTCTGCTTTTGAAAAGTCATCATTTTCCTTTCCTTTCCCACGTGCAGAGAAACGCCAGCTGCGCTGGAGGAGCAGAGTTCGGGGAGCCCCAGGAGGATCTGAGCATCCCAGTTTCCCGATCTCTTTCTGGGCCTTTCATCTCTGGCCATCAGCAAGGCCCTGCCTCTGTGTCAGGCTGTGTAAAGGGTGCACCCAGTGGGGCCCAGACTACCCCATCATGGGTGATCCTGGTGGCACACGCACAGGACTCATGTACCTCAGCCACACCTGAGGGCACCGGTTCCTGCTGACCCCCCGTACCCCACGAGACGGGTGCCCACGGAGCTTTGCAGCATGTTCCCCGACTCAGGAGGCAAAACCGCCCCCTCAGCTCCGCTCCTGCCGCTCCTGGAGCCTATGCCACCTGCAGAGGGCACCCACAGGTGTCAGCGTGTTGAGCCAGGTGCTGCTCTAGGTACTGGGGATACAAGCAGGAACGGAACAAGTTTCATGTCCTCAGGGTCTCAGGTACGGGGCCCCTGGCATCGGGCTAGGTCCTCTGAGGGCGATGGGGCAGGAAGGGGCAGAGCGCAGGCATTGTGGTTGGAGACTGACTGCAGCTGACATCTGGCACGTGCTGCCCGCTGGGGTCCACGTGGCCCACTGGGCTCTTTGGCTGCTGGTGGTCAGAGGATGGCTTGGTCATGCCAGAGCTGGGACACAGCACAGAAGCCGGTTCTTTCTGTGGGAATGGCCATCAGGTGGCCTGGTCATGAGGCTGTTTCTGCCTATGACCCAGCACCAGACAGCAGCCGTTCCACTCTCACCCTCTCTGGGTGACTGGTACACCCAGAGACAGCAGAGGGGAGAGGGACCTCGAGGAACCCAGCCAGCCCTCCACATCCGTTTCTGTCCGTGTGAGCAGGGCCCCGGTGCCCCTCTAGGCCCAGCCTGCCCAACCTAGGAAGGGCTGGCGTGGGACCCGGGGTGGGCAGATGGCTCCATCCTGGCTCCCAGCCACACTGAGCCTAGGGCACCATGCCCTTCTGTCAGCCTGCAGACGCTTGCTGGGTACCCTCCCTGCCCCAGGCCTGGCAGGAAGATGAGGTGACAGAGGCGGCCCTGGGGAGCTCCTTCTGCTTCTTACCTGGCCGCCCCTCACCTAGGCCAGAGCCAGATCCTGGCCCTTGCCCCGCAGCGGCCTCTGCAGGCACAGGACCTCCGAGCTGCCAGGACATGGCTTCTTGTCTCCTTCCTCCCTCCTGGTCCACGCAGCAGTCCTGGGTGCCCCCGCCCTGCACAGTTATGGCCCTCTATCAGTCTGCCCTTCCCAGCCCTCGCCAGCCTGTGAAAGCACTGGGGATGCGGTGAGTTCCTGTGCCCGTGGGGAAGGGGCCAGCAAAGACACCAAAGTGGCAAACAGCAGGAACATGAAGCTGTGAGGGCTGGTGATGCCGGGCGGGAAGCCAGGCGGGGAGGCAGGATGGTGTGTGGCCTGACCCCACCTCGCAGCCAGGAAACAGGCACACGGAGATGTCCTGCACGTGTCAGGGCCCCAGGTAGGTGGCTGCAGGAGGCTGGGCCCTCAGGTGGGCCTCCCCAGTCACACAGCCTTGGCTGACCTGTCTGTCCTCTCGTCCAGCCACAGGGAGACAAAGACCTCTTTGTCCCTCCACCCTTCCGCCCAGAGCCTCCCCAGCCAGTGCAGCTCTGAGCATGTCCCCACGGGAGGGAGACAGTCCCCGGTGGGGCCTGGCAGTCCTGGCAGCTGCCTTGAGGCACAGGCCCTGGGGGACTCGGTGCTTTGAGGGCAGGGGCAGGTGATGGAAGTGGGCTGGGGAAAGGGAGGCTGAGAAGGCGGCAGTGTGGCGCGTGTGAATTTGTTTATGAACTAGCTACAAAAATGTCTTTTCCAGTGTTTGCTCTTCTAGAATTTGACTAGCAGGTTTTCCGGTCTTTAGTGGAAAGCCCTTTAAATAAATACAAGAAAAGAAAAAGCAAAAAAAAAGTCTTCCTCAATCAAATCTGAGGTGGTTCCTTCCCCAACCAGGCTGGCTGGGTGGGGAGGGAGGGCCCGAAGCCCAGGCTCCTAGGGAAAGGCTCTGATCCAGCTTCAGGGCCACAGCAGCTCTGCTCCCCACCCCAGGGCTGGGCTGGGACACTGGCCCTTCCTGGCAGGGGTGTCCTACCCCACAGAGAAGCCTTGGGAGGTGGCCACCGCTGGGCCACTGCCCCTCACCAGGCCCAGAGGCCCAGTTCTCAGTCTGAAAAGAAAACCTGCCCTGGGCCGCTTATGACCAGGTGGGGCTTGGTGGGCACAGGGGGCCTGGCGGGAGCGCTGGAGCCCAGGGGCCTGGGAGGGGCCCAGGTCTGACATCTCATCCCGCACCAGGCTCTCTGCAGGCCTTCAGTTCCAGAACTGTGTCCTCAAAATCCTGTTGATGCTGCCACAAGTGGGCTCTCTCCTCCCCCATTCCGGGAAGGTTCTGGGTGAGTGGCTAGCCGTCCCTCCCACTGGGAGCTCCAGTACCTGAACTGCCAGCCACCTGCAGCCCCCACCTCACCCCAGGCAGTACTGCACCCTGGGCTGGCGGGACCAGCCTGGAGGGCCCTCCTGGGGCTCTGAGGCTCATGGACAGCCTCCCAGGGAGCGTCTCTGCTGGTCTCATTTCTGTCTGGGAGGGAGTTGGGTGAGCAGCGGGGAGAGGCTGAGTGGATGCCTGCCCACCTGGAACAGTGCTAGGTGGGGATGGGGGGCACCACGGGGCACACACAAGCCACCAGAAGGGCCGATGTCCACTCGGAACGACAGTCAGGGGCGCGGCTGTGTGGGTGGAGGCGGTCTGGAAGAGCAGGCATGGCAGAGCGGCCGCTGGCTCACATGGACTGGCGGAGCGCTGTCCTGCTGGGGCCATCCCAAAGAGAAGCATGGCCCGTCACTCCCCAGGCTAAAAACCATCCACGGCTGCCCCTCCTCATGGCTGAAGCGCAGCTCCTAGGCCCCACCCAACGCCCTCAGGTCCCCTTCTCTCCCTCACCCTGTGGAGAGTGGAGCTGCCTCCTGTCCCTCGGAGGACTCTCAGGCCCCAGCCCTGTCCCAGCAGCTTGTGGTCCAGCTTGGCTGGCCCTGCCAGGCTCTCCAGGCTCCAGCAGCAGTGGCAGCTGTCAGCACAGCCAAGCTGCCAGCACTACCGCCTCCCAGGCAGGTGGCACTCTCACTCTGATGAAGCGCTCAGCTTACCGACTGGAACAGTGTTCATGACTACGGTCGTGCCTGGGAAGAAGACGAGCTCCTGCACTTCCCATCACGTTCCACTGCTTGTCTGTGACCAACTAACCTCTCCACCTCTGCCAGGAAGCCTCCCTGGGCTTCTCAACCACCCCATCACATCCGGCCAAAGCTCCTTGCGACGGATCCCTCAGAAAGCCACGTGGCCTCTACAGGGGCCCTTGCCCCAGTTCCATGCCTTTGCCCCCAGCACCTCACAGGCACTCGGCAGATGCTGGTTAAATGGAGAGTCCACCCCAAGGCTCAGCGACGCTCCCTCAGTCCTCCTCACCCCCACAGGTTAGTAGGTTTCCTTCAAGTACTTCACCCAGCAACCAGGAAGATTCCTCGTCATCTCAAATCGGTCTGAAAGGCGCACTAGGCACGCGCTGGCCCCGACACTGCCCCTCCCTGGTCCTCTCCAACAGCACCGAAGACATGGAGGTCGGCCCAGGCTCAGGAATCACAGAGCTAACTGCTCATTTCAGCGTCACAAGCACGAGCAGACGAATTTCAGAGACAGAAGCCAACATCGCCACCCCTGATCTTTAGAGGCTCCAGCCAGCCTGGCCCCCGTGGCTCGGTGGTCAGCCAAGGCCTCTGGAATTGGAGCGGCCTTGCTGCTCCAAGGCAGGGTGTGACCCAGTCTGCCCTGCTGGCCCCCCTGCCCTGGGGACAGAGTGGGAGGCACTTCTGATTCCACCCGGGCTCTCAGGGGGATGAGGTGGCTTCAGGTGAGAGATCCTGACTGGCCCCCCAGAGCCCTGGTGGAAGGTTCAGCAGAGGGAAGGTCCTTTGGATCCGACAAGCAGAAGGATTTGAAACTCTCTGAAGCTATCTGAAGATCTGAGATTTTTCCACTCATTTATTCAGCAAGTATTCACTGAATGCCTATTACATGCCAGGAGCTAAGGACACTATTTCCAAAGAACAGCTCACCCAAAAGGCATGTGAGTGCCCATTACTGCCAGGACCTGAGGCTGCATGGATGAAGAGACAGACCTTGCCTTGAAAGGCACTGTGGCCTGGCGTGGGAGAGACAGGTGAGCCAGTGTGTTCAAGAGCTATTAATAGGGTACGGGAACAGAAGATACGCTCCACAGCCCAAGGGATGGGCAGGGAGGGCTTCGGATGAGAGCACCAGAACCCAGGGCCATGAACAGCAAAGTCATCTGATGACCTTGCTCCGCTCGGCACTCAGAACCACCCAGCTCCATGTCCCAACACCCACAGAGGACTGAGGTGGGGCAGACACCAGTGGGAGACGGAGACAGAAGGTGGGGAACTGGCAACATTCATCTGAAAACGCGGCCACAGGGACACAGTTCGAGAACTGGAAGGGTTCTAACACACTGAAAACCTGCCAGTCGCCGCGACGGCAGCGGGGACCAGAGATGGAGAGGCAGCGTGCGGCCCCGAGTCCTTACCAAATGGGGTCACAGACCCCTGGCAGCTCCGCAAAGACCAGAGAACCCTAAGTGGGGAAACAGCTTCACTTCACTTCACCCTTACTCCAGAAAGATACATTTTCGCAGCTGTAATTCGCCAGTGGAAGACGTGTGCACAGAAGGAAGCACTGGTTTAAGACAGTCTTTCCACGATGAGGGATGCCGGTTCACTGACACAGTGGCTTTGAGACATAATGCTGGAGCTGAATGCTTCACGTTAACCAGCTGAATCCTTCAAGCCTAAGCACTAAGTACTGCCCACCTTTCAGAAGAAACTGAAGCTCAGGGGCTCAGCTTTGAAAGTGGCACAGCTCGCTGGGCACAGTGGCTCACACCTGTAATCCCGGCACTTTAGGAGGCTGAGGCAGGCAGATCACGAGGTCAAGAGATGGAGACCATCCCGGCCAACATGGTGAAACCTCATGTCTACTAAAAATACAAAAATCTGGGAGGCTGAGGCAGGAGAATGGCGTAAACCCGGGAGGCGGAGCTTGCAGTGAGCTGAGATCCGGCCACTGCACTCCAGCCTGGGCGACAGAGCGAGACTCCATCTCAACAACAACAACAACAACAACAACAACAACAACACAAAAATTAGCTGGGCGTGGTGGCGCACAGCTGTAATCCCAGCTACTTGGGAGGCTGAGGCAGGAGAATCACTTGAACCCAAGAGGCAGAGGTTGCAGTGAGCCAAGATTGTGCCATTGCACTCCAGCCTGGGCGACAGGGAAAAAAAAAAAAAAAAAAGAGAGAGAGAAAGAGAAAATGGCACAGCTGAGATGTGAACCTAGCAGTCTGAGCCCCAGCCTGCTTTAGCTACTTGGCCAGCACTCCTTGAAGTGGGAGCTTTTAGAAATCCTGATGTCCAGACTGTACGCCATCCTGATGAAGCTAGAATCCCTGGGGTGGGCCCCAAGCACCAGCCATTTCTTCAACTCTCCAGGTAAGTCCAACAGGCAGCTGAGTCTTGAACTGCAACCAAATTGTCCTTCCCTCCTTTGCCAGGTGACTCTGGGCAGTTCCCTGGGCAAGGGACCACCTGAATCTCAGAATCATCTATGAAACAGATAGTATGAAAAACTGCCTCAAGGGGTGCTGAGAGCTTAAAACGTGCATAGAACATTTTGCACAGATGGCCGGGCAGTGGAGCTGGGGCTGCTGGGACATTCTGGACCACACTGCTCAGGGCCTCACAGGGATGTGGCCAGGTGAAATAGTGGAGGTCACTCAAGGTTTTCATTCAGAAAAGCCATATGATCAGAGCCGTGCTTTTAGAAAGACCAAGAGGGCAAATATGTGAACGAGGACCTGAAATAGCCTGCTAGTGACTGGCATAAAAAAGGGCACAAACTGGAGACCCAGAACTAGGGACACAGAGTCCTAAGGCTCCCTGGTGACCCCCCCGACCCCAAAATCTGTGCAATGATAACTACACAAAATGGAAAAGCAAGGCCAAGCGTGGTAGCTCATGTCTGTCATCCCAGCACTTTGGGAGGTTGAGGTAGGAGGATCGCTTGAGCCCAGGAGTTCGAGACCCTTAAGAGTTAAGACCCTGTTTCAGTAAAAAACAAAAGAACCCAAAACATTTTGTAAGATGCCCTCAGACATGTCCTGACCAGCAGGGGTGACCCCAGACCTGCATATAAGAGGCCCTCAATTAGGGCCCAGCTTGTACCCACAATCAAGAGCCAAGCTTGCCAGGGCATGGCCCCTCAGCCCCTGCAACCTCGTTCCAGCTCAGCCCACAGCCCACTCCAGGGTTTCTTCTTTTCAAAAAAATAGAGATGGGGTCTGTGTTGCCCAGGCTGGTCTTGAACTACTAGGCTCAAGCAGTCCTCCCACCTTAGCCTCCCAAAGTGCCAAGATTACTGGTGTAAGCCACCACACCCACCCTCTCCTGTCCTATTTCTAACCAGCCTTGAAAAGCCCAGTGAGACCCCTTCCTAAGCCACTGGTCTTTCTCCGGCTTGCGCTTGACACCTGCCCTGACACCAGACATTCACACCTGAGACAGACCAGGAGTGGCTGACTCCCCTCGTCCCTTCTCTGACTAGACTGGAATTTCTCCATGGCCACTGGTGGCACAATGGACTCTTCAATCCTCAGCGCAACACGAGGATACGCTAGGAGCCTGGTTAACGCTGCTTCCAGTGTAACTGATAAGAATCCTCACGTGTGGTAGAGGATTTATTCAAAAGCTCACATTTCCCCCAGAGTGTTTCTCTTTAACTGTACACGTCATTTCTCTTGGCTCTGGGCCTATCATGTGTTTGCGAGGCTTGCAAAGGCTGCTTCTGTTTGGATCACCTGAAAGATAAAAGCAGGCAGAGAAGACAACAAAAATACAATAGAAGGCCAGGCGCGGTGGCTCACACCTGTAATCCCAGCACTTTGAGAGGCTGAGGCAGGTGGATCACGAGGTCAGGATATCGAGACCACGGTGAAACCCCATCTCTACTAAAAATACAAAAAATTAGCCAGGCATGGTGGCGGGCACCTCTAGTCCCAGCTACTCGAGAGGCTGAGGCAGGAGAATGGCATGAACCTGGGAGGTGGAGCTTGCAGTGAGCCGAGATCGTGCCACTGCACTCCAGCCTGGTCGACAGAGCAAGACTCCGTTTCAAAAAAAAAAAAAAAAAAGGACTCCTTACGCAAGTCAGACAGTCCATGAAGGTGATAATATATGACTATATAAAGAACACACACATCAGACTCACAGCCCTTCACCACTGCAAGCATAAGCTAAGAGACTGGTTTTATTTCAAGAATAACTAAGGGTATACTAATACATGTATCTCAAAGTAACACTGAATTATTGAAGACACACTATTCCAATAGTCACAGAGTTGACAGAGAGGGGACAGGAACCGATGTACTGGAAAAACACACTTGCATTATACATCAAAATTGATGGCCAATATCTCCCTAGGTATTAAAATACCCAACAAATTAAAAGCTGAAAAGCTGTGCTAAAAAAAAAAAAAAAAAAAAAAACCCAAAACCTTGCATGTACAAGCTAAGCTCAGACCCTTAGAAACCAGATAGAAATGGACAAAGCCAAACAAATGAGAAAAACTGGTTGAGTTTCTCAATCATATCAAATATATGTACATTTTAGCAAAATAAACCACTAAACTATACTTCGTAGACATATTCATTACATTTATTTTAATAACTACTTCATTATAGGCTGACTGGCTTTCCTGTTTGGATAAAGTGTGATCTGAAAGCAGCGCTGACTGAATGTAAATCAAGCAAATGTTCCCAGTCATTTTTGGCATGAATATGGATTATAGTGTTTAATGCAGACCCAAGGCCACACATTTTTGGGGATTAGGTTTTACTTGCAGTACAGATTCCTTTCATGTAAGATCACAAAAATACAACACAATGTGACAAGCCCCGTTGAAGAATTACATGCAGTAGCTCATATTAACACAAACAGCTCCCCATGAGGGCCGAGAAGAGCTAAATCCGGTGTCACTAGGGTTCACTGCAGGAGTAGAATAATCCGGTACAAGGATCTAGAACAGATTGAAACCAGAAACAAAGCCATGCCTGATGGTCACTCAAGGTCAGTCTGATCATTTTCATGACCAAAATAACCCATGTGAACAATTCAAAATGACCATGGAAGAGCTGAGCACCCTGTACTCACACACGATGCCCACAGCTTGGCAAAAGGTAAACACTTTTGTTTGAAAAGAATAACAGAGACATCTACTTTCAAAGAACAATGGATACTTTTTTTTTTTTTTTTTTTTTTTTTTTTTTTGAGACGGAGTCTCGCTCTGTCACCCAGCCCAGGCTGGAGTGCAGTGGCGCGATCTCGGCTCACTGCAAGCTCCGCCTCCCGGGTTCACGCCATTCTCCTGCCTCAGCCTCCCGAGTAGCTGGGACTACAGGCGCCCACAACCGCGCCCGGCTAATTTTTTTGTAATTTTTAGTAGAGACGGGGTTTCACCGTGGTCTCGATCTCCTGACCTTGTGATCCGCCCGCCTCGGCCTCCCAAAGTGCTGGGATTACAGGCGTGAGCCACCGCGCCCGGCCTGAACAATGGATACTTTTAAAGGGAATGCTGACGTTTAACTTTACAAAATGAAATTAAAAATGTAAGTAGTACTCTGATGAAGAATGTGCCTGAAATGTAATCAGGATTTCCCGGCGGTATAATTAAACAGAGCTCTAATTTAAAAACTCTTCCTGGGCTGGGCGCCGTGGCTCAGACCTATAATCCCAGCACTTTGGGAGGCCGAGGCAGGCGGATCACGAGGTTAGGAGTTCGAGACCAGCCTGACCAACATGGTGAAACCCCGTCTCTACTAAAAATACAAAAATTAGCCAGGTGTGGTGGCACACGCCTGTAATCCCAGCTGCTCAGGAGGCTGAGGCAGGAGAATCACCTGAACCCGGGAGGTGGAGCTTGTAGTGTAGTGAGCTGAGATGGCAGCACTGCACTTCAGCCTGGGCAACAGAGTGAGACTCCATCTCAAAAATAAATAAATAAAAAATAAAAACTCTTCCGCAAGATTTTAAGAGCATTCTAAAATTATGATACAGAAAAGCAATCCTAAAACTACTCTGGCCAAAATGTGGATTCGAATGACCTGCCTTGAGCCCGCAGTTGCCAGGAGCTGGACCTGCAGTAGTGTGGGAGCTCACAGCCTCAATAGCGACTGCCCTCTGACCCCACCATCCAGTGATTCTAGAACATTTCTAGTAGGAAAGACACAGCAAGGGATTTTCATGATCGGGAAATACTGAGACAAACTGAAGATCTGTTAAGGGCTATGCTTTTGTCATCGTTTAGGTATTTAAGGCTACTTCTTTAGCCAGCATACTTTCAGCTGTTTAGAGTGACAATTTCCCTACACAAAGTTACCAAATTAGCATCTCTGAAAGAGAATAATATTACCCTGGATTTCCAAAGATGCACTCTAATAGGATGACCAGGCAAAAAGTGACCCGGGGGAGGAGTCTGTTATAACACCCGGACCAACATGTTCTCAAGGCACTTCAGAACTTCGGGGAATTACTTCATACTGGATCCTCAGAAAGTACTGACGGAAATACACATCCTTTAGCAGAAGAAAGACGCTTCATGCAGGATTGACTTTAATGGCTCTTTCAGGCAACAGAGAAACCACCACATGCTCATAACATGAGCTCAGTTGTTCAGCAGGCACCCAGAGGAAGCCTTTAATTCCGAGCAGGTTTCACTAATTAGTCCTGGAGCAGGTGTGGTTTTGATATTTACCATGTGAGTGGTTAACAGCTGACTGCCTAGGAAAACCTAGGAAGGCCTGGTCCCTCTGGGTTACTGACAGCATCCACCCTCACGTTGTAACACAGCACTGGGGAGGTGTGACAAGGTTGTCCATTTTACAGCCTTGGACCACAGAAGAGAACCATTACATGCTACATTCAGACTTTTTGGCTTAGTTTTAGTATAACCTGACACTGGAAACCCATCTCCGGTCTTCATCCTCCAACTACAGGTATGGGTGTTTCCTTTTCTTTTTTTTAAAGGCCCATTAACTTCATTTAAAGGTTCCCATCCTTATAAATTACTCACTAAGGAAAACTATAATCTCAGATTTTAGAAAAAGCAATTTACAAGATATTATTGCTGGTCCTTTATCCCTTCTCTTTAATGCAATCTCAAAGGTTTTTTGGCTATTAGTTTTCACAATTTTCTTATGTTGCACACAAAAACAAGATTCCTCTCTCTAAAATGTAGAGTATGGGGAAAACACAGATGCTGTTTTTCCAACTAAAAATGTTTACAAAGAACAGATTGTCTCAACAAACAAAAAAACCCCACCCCATTAAGCTGGGTAGGACCAATAAGTGAAAAAAAATGTCTTCTATCGAGCATAATAAAACAGAACATGTACTTCTTGTGTTTGAACCTTACTCCTATTTAACCAAAAATTTCCCCTTTCTCATAATTTTCCTAGTATTATGTAAGGTTATGCCTAGTTCTAGATTCTGAAATACCTGCATTTTAATGCTTGCACAACCCATTTTAAATTTACAAAAGCTGCCTCTATTTCATTTTCTGATTGAAAACACACAAAAAAAGGACAAACCAAACAAACCACACCACATCATAGAGAGAATGATCCGAATGGAAAAGTTAATGTGCTGTAATGATATTTGTCTTGCAACATCACAAGCAGCAGATACTGAATAGAATTTGCTTCAATCATAAATACTGAGACTGAAATATGCACGTATAAATCAATGAAATGAAAGCTCTCTATACATAGAAGCACATATGAAGTGCAAAACAATATCAAAAGTGAGACCTCTGGTATTTTAGTACTCCCATTCATCGGATTTCAGGTCGAGATAGCTGAGAATATTCTGGGCAAGCTTCACAGCCTGTTTCCTGGCAGCCTTACACTTCTCTTCTCCCTGCGGATCAACAGCATCCAGGGCTAGCAGCTGCTTGGTGAGCAGCTCTTCCAGCCGGATGTAGTTCTTATCGGTTCGATTTCCATCAAATGAAAGAACTTCTCCTTGGATCTCGGACAAGTTTCCAAGGACGTTCCAGACGGCTTTATGGGATGGGTGCTCCTCACAAGCAAACAGCTTTCTTTTCTCAAGGGCCTCCTTCAAGTCAATATACGTGATCAGAGTTTGCACCTCGATCACTGCTCTTCTCCTGGCTTCCCGGATGCAGGGGTTTTTTTCAAGACTTACCTCATCCAACTGTCCAATTAAACCCTGCAATTCTGTTTTGGAGCTCAGGTACAATTCAGGAGGGTTTTGTGCTTGGAGAAGTTCATTTTTTATTTCTCTCATTCTCGTGAGGACCTTTTCTATTTTTAAAATAGAATGATTCTGTCTCAGGTCAAATGCTTTAGTCGTGTCTGCTTCCTCTTCCAAATCCAGATACTTCAATAATTTGTTGATATCTTCTACTACCTCCCTCCGATAATTTCTGATTTCTGTCCGGCCGCACACATCTAGAGCATCTAGGTCAGCGATCAGCCCTGAGAGCACACAGGATAAGTGCCTGCAGGTCTCACTGTTGTTCACGCCCATCAGAAGTGCAATCAGGACCCCTCGGGCCTTGTTCACCTCACACATCACAAAGTTGATTTTGGCCACGGAAGGATGTGCATCCTCGGAAAGCGGCAGGGAAGGCTGCTTTTTCATGCAGTCTTCGATAATCTCTTGCACCGCACAGATTTTGGTTAAAGTGTGATACCTTGCTTTCCGCAAGGAGATTTTTCCTCCAGTTTTAACATGTGTCAGCCTCAGAATGATATCCTGGATGCCTTCTTCAAACTCGTCAGTTACGCAGTTGCCTCCATTATAAAATGGCACAATTTTCTCTCTAACGAGGGACTGGGCTTCCTCAAAAATGTTCTGTATTTCAATCCGGTGTGGGTGGTTTGCATTCTGCTCCAACTCTTTGAGAAGACGTTCTGTCTCCTGTGCTGCCCTCTTCCTAGCTTGCTGAATATCTCCTTTTCCTTCAGTATCTACAGAGTCTATTTCAAAAAGTTGTTTTGTTAGAATCCTCTCCAGTTTCTTGTAATTCTTGTCATCTGACAGACCACTGAAGCCGACAACTTGCTGTTCTACACTTTTTACTTCCTTTTGGATTTCCTGAAGCCTACTAATAGAAGGATGTTGGTTTCCCATATCCATACTTTTGTTGTGTTCAGTTTCACAAGCACTAAAAGATGACAAGAATAACTTATTACAGCACAAGGCTTCTGCAGAACACTAATGGTATACTAAGTCATTCTAAAATTCTCATTTTAAAAAGGCATACTTTCGAGCAGTCATCCCACCTCAGCCTCCCCAGTAGCTGGGACTACAGGCGTACACCACCACGCCCAGCTAATGTTATTATTTTTAGTAGAGACAAGTCTCACTATATTGCCCAGGCTAGTCTCAGACGATCCGCCCGCCCCCGCCTCTCAAAGTGCTGGGATTAAGGTGTGAGTCACCGTACGCCGCACAAACTATTTGGAACCGGCAGGGCACCTTTATGCAAGGTGAAACAGTAGCTCTTGTAACCTTCCGAACACTAACAGTACCCCGCCCCGCCACACAGCTATGCCTAGTTTCCAGAAACTCTAAGCAAAATAAACTGAACCAGTAGAACAAAAACCAGTGGCTCTCAGATATCCCCAAGTTCCCGCTTCTTCCCTTTGTGCACTTCCCCTCCCCACCCTTTTAGCTCCTCACACATCTTCCCTCCCAGATGTCTCCCCGAAGAGATAAAAACCCCACAGGTAAAGAAGAGCGACGGGGATTGCGCTGAAGGGCACCACCTTGGGCTTTCGAGGCCCAGCACCTCCTCAGCCCCCAACATGCTCCACTGTCTCAAAAAACTACAACCTGCGAAAATGTGGTAACTGAATAATTCATTCACTCGCCTCCCACTGAGAGTCCACAATCGCCTAATGCACGTTTCAAGCTCTTGGTTTCTATCAAACGGCTCGCTCAAGGTGGGTAACCAATGGAAACGCATCATCCATCCCCTGTGGATGTTCTGGAGGCCACGGAGGGCAGGCGGCCCGAGTTCCTTCCTCCCCGCCTCGCCCTTCCCTCTTGGCTCTTTACCCAGAAGAGGTCTGAGCTGGCTGCGATCTTGGCGTCCCGTGGCTGAGGTGGCGAGGTGGAAGATCAGCCCTTTACGGGGTGCGGCACCGGAGCTGGGCCCCCAGCTGCATCCCTCGCGCCCCTCCCGACTAGGTCTGAGCGGGGCAGCCGGTGAAGGGGCCGGCGGTGAAGGGGCTGCTACTGGCTGCAGCAGCCGCTCCGGGAGTCTCGGCCTAGGTGCCAGGGCGCGCCCGCAGGCCCTGACCTCACAATGGGCGCGCGAGGGGCCCTCGGCCCGGCCGGGGGAAGCCGGGGAAGGAGGGGAGCCAAGGCCCCGCCGGAGACACCAGAGACCAGGCCCGACCACCCCTGGACAGCGTCCGAGCCAGGGACGGGGACGGCGCCGAGACCAACTCTGCTCGGCCTGTGCCGACAGGCCGCGCTGGGGTGGGCGCTGGCAGAGAGGTGGTCCAGCGGGGAGCCCCGCGCCGACGGGGGGCCCCACTCGTCCCCCCGACGGAGGGAAAAGGCCACACGCCGCGCTTCGCTCACCTGTCCTGCCCGCGCCATCGCGCGATGCGTCGCCGACGCTTCCACGACTTCCGCAGCTCCGGCCGTCGCCCGGGCCAGCCAGCCCACGCCCCTGGCCGAACACCCCTAAACCCGGGGACACCTCCTCCGGCGTCCGCGCCTAGCCGTCGACAGCGCCAAGCCCACCGCCAGCGGCGCAGCAAGGCAACCTGGAGTGACAGCGACCAAGGAGCGGCCGCCCGGGTCAGCGGCGCGCCGCCCGCCGCTCCCGTAGCCCGTCGTACCGCGGGGAAAGCGCACGGTCGGCCGCACCGCCGCCCTCCCTCGGGCTTCGCGACCCTGCCGTAAAGCGGCCTCTCGCGCCGTCGCAATGCTGCCGTGCGCCGCGGGAGCCAGGGGGCGTGGGGCCATGGTGGCCTTGCGGGCGGGGAAGAAGAGTTTTCTCCGCGCTCTCAGCCGCTCCTTCGTCTGCCGCGGCTGTCAACTCGCTCCGGAGCGCGGCGCCGAGCGCAGGGATACGGCGCCCAGCGGCGTAAGCAAGCGCCTGGGGATATTGGGCCGGGAGGGGTGACCGGAAGGAAAGACAAACCGGGGCCTCGGGGCAGCTGCCTGCCATGCACAGCCGCCTCAGGCCTTTCTGCAGGTGCGCTCGCGTCCGATCCCGAACAGTCCCGCAGCCCCAAGGCTTCCGCGTCAGGGCTCTCGGTCGGATGGGACTGAGGGTGCCGCCGCCACGCCGGAGACTGTTGACAGCCAGAACCTTTAAGCATAAGAGTCACCTGGCAAGTTTGTAGCTATCTTATTTGTTCCCGAGAATGATTATTTTTTATATTTAAAGAGCTCTTGGCTTAGCGTGCATTTTTTTTTCGTGGTGTGTGTGTGTGTGTGTTTGTGTTTTGGCTTTGTTAAAATTATTAGAGCTTTTATTCAAGCGGTGAACACTTTATACTTTATCATCGTACTTTTGTAGCACTTCACGTTCAATAGTTGTTCTTATTTGCAAACTATGTGTGGGTATATGCATGTTACTGGCCAAAGATCCGCAAAGAATGTCTGTAGCAAGAAAGAGTGGCAAGCAATTTTTATAAGTCATACTTTTGGGAGGGATGTTTTGTTTAAAGGAGGCCTAGGCCTTGATTCCATCTGTCAGATGAAAATGTTGGCTAACGGTGTGGAATGGGCTGGAGATAAAATATTCAAGCAAAGCATGCAAATACCAAACAGGCTAATGAAGGAGGCTGGAAAACTTGGTTTAAACAATAATTAAAGAAGTGTAAAAAAGAGCTAATTAAAAATTGTTCGGGCTCCCTGGCTCACACTTGTAATCCTAGCACTTTGGGAGGCCGAGGCGAGCAGATCACGAAATCAAGAGGTGAGACCATCCTGCCCAACATGGTGAAACCCCGTCTCTGCTAAAAATACAGAAATTAGCTGGGCATAGTGGCACGCGCCTCTATAGACCCAGCTAGCTACTCGGGAGGATGAGGCAGGAAAATCGCTTGAACCCGGGAGGCGGAGGTTGCAGTGAGTGGAGATCGCACCGCTGCACTTCAGCCTGGCGACAGAGGGAGACTTCATCTAAAAAAAAAAAAAAAAAAGCTAATTAAAAATTGCAAATGTACTTGCTTGTACATTTTCATTTCTGTTGGGCTGTGGCTGTTAGCACACTTTTATAATTGTAGCTTTGAAGGTCTGTTTAGTTTGCAATTTAAACAAGTTACCAGGGCAACTTGTCAACCAGACACCCAAGTGGCTGACTCAGTTCTGTGTTACAGTGGCCAAGCCCTTGCCTTCTATTCCTAGAACATAGAAACCCACCCAGCATCTCCGTCTTTGGGCAGAGAGATACAGCAGGTGTCTAAAAATGCTCTAAGAGAGCCAACTGGAAATCAACCCAGACATTTCCCAGGGGGAGGATTTTCCCTAGCTTATTTTGTGAACTTGTGCTGGAAAGAAACAACAGCACCCAAATAAGGATTTCTCCATTCTCATATAGACTTCTTTTTTTGTTTGTTTGTTTTTTGTTTTTTGAGGCGGAGTCTCCCCCTGTTGCCTAGGCGGGAGTATAGTGGCGTGATCTCAGCTCACTGCAACCTCTGCCTCCTGGGCTCAAAGGATTCTCGTGCCTCAACCTTCTGAGTAGCTGGGATTACAGGCGCCCACCGCCATTCCCGGCTAATTTTTTTTGTTTGTTTTTAGTAGAGACAGGGTTTTACCTGTTGGCCAGGCTGGTTTCGAACTCCTGACCTCAAGTGATCCGCCTGCCTGGGCCTCCCAAAGTGCTAGGATTACAAGTGTGAGCCACCATTCTCGGCCTTAGACTTCTTGTTAAAGTAAAATAAGTCTTACCATGGGTCTGTTCTCAAGATGAGAGACCTCTCTGCCTTCTTTGTTTTTTCTTTTTTCGAGATGGAATTTTTGCTCTGTTGCCCAGACAGGAGTGCAATGGCACAGTCTCGGCTCACTGCAACCTTCGCCTACTGGGTTCAAGCAGTTCTCCTGCCGCAGCCTCCCGAGTAGCTGGGATCACAGGCGCATGCCGCCACACCTGGTTAATTTTTTTTTTCTTTTTTTAGTAGAGATGGGGTTTCACTATGTTGGCCAGGCTGGTCTCGAACTCCTGACTTCAGGTGATCCACCCGCCGCGGCCTCCCAAAGTGCTGAGATTACAAGTGTGAGCCACCGTGCCCAGCCAGCACCAGCTTTTAATTGAAAAACATTATAGAACGTAAGAGTCAGGCACCATTCTTCCTTCCAAATCCATCTTTAAAACTCAGCTTTTCAGAAATATAACTGCTTTTGGTAAAGAAAAAAAAATTAGACTTTTAAATTCTGTTCCCTAGCCACTTCATGCCTGCTTATGTCTTACCTATGTAGTTTGCATCACTGGTTCCTAAACTTGTTTGCACATAAGAATTAGTCTGACTCTTTTAGTTCTTTTTTTTCTTTAATCTGGAAGTTCCCAAACCAGAATTGGTTCAGACATACTCCCTTTTAGTTCTTTTTTAATCCATAGGTTCTGCCTCCATCACCTCTCCACCTTTTTTTTTTTTTTTTTTTGAGATGGAGTCTCACTCTGTCACCCAGGCTGGAATGCAGTGGCATGATCTCAGCTCACTGCAACCTCCACCTCCTGAGTTCAAGCTATTCTCCTGCCTCAGCCTCCTGAGTAGCACCTCCTCACCTTTTTTTTTTTTTTTTTTTTTTTTTTTTTTAAGCAATTTATTTGAAGAGGGGATCACATGTCCTTTAAAACTTCCTACAGTCTGGATTTTGCTGATTGTGTCTCCATGGTGTAATTTAGCATGTTCCTCTGGCTTCTTTCTTGTAAATTGACAGCTATATTCTAGAACTTTGACCACATCCAGATTTTTTTTTTTTGTTTTTTTGAGACAAAGTCTCACTCTGTCACCCAGGCTGGAGTGCAGTGGCGTGATCTCAGCTCACTGCAACCTTCACCTCCCAGGTCCAAGCAGTTCTGCCTCAGCCTCCCGAGTAGCTGAGATTACACATGCCTACCACCACGCCCGGCTAATTTTTATATTTTTTGTAGAGACAGAGTTTCATCATGTTGGCCAGGCTGGTCTTGAACTCCTGACCTCAGGTGATCTGCTCATCTCAGCCTCCCAAAGTGCTGGAATTACAGGTATGAGCCACTGTGCCTGGCCCAAAGTCACTTTTAGCTTCAAAAATGAGCTGTAGGGTATACCTTCTTTTTCTGTTTCTGTGGATTGTTTACTAAGGTTTGAATTTTTCTGTGACTGGTAGAACCTACAAGTCATTTGAACCAGAGTTTTCATAAGAACAGGTCATTTTAACCCCATCTTCTTTTTGGTTAGAGTTACTAAACTGGTAAATAAGAGTGATCCGGCCAGGCATCGTGGCTCACACCTTGCCAGCACTTTGGGAGGCTGAGGCAGGCAGATCACCTGAGGTCAGGAGTTCAAGACCAGCCTGGCCAACATGGTGAAATCCTGTCTCTACAAAAATACAAAAATTAGCCGGGCATGATGGCGGTACCTGTAATCCCAGCTACTTGGGAGGCTGAGGCAGGAGAAATGCTTGAACACAGGAGGCGGAGGTTGCAGTGAGCTGAGATCGCGCCATTGCACTCTAGCCTGGGCGATGGACCAAGACTCCTTCTCAAAAATAAAAAAAAAAAAAAGAGTGATCCATTGCATATTGATTTAAGCAAGACATCTGATAAAGTCTCATGTATTTTTGAAAACCATGTCCTGTGTTATGGTGCTTGAAACACCAATGGAAACATTCGTCTTAGGGTGGTTCGTATTTCCTGCACAGGTTCTTCATGAGGTGCCAGTGATACAGAAATGAATGTGTGTGCCTCTTTTCACACATGCACAGATGGCTCTCCAGGCAGGAGCTCTGCATGCTAACACATGCCTCCCTGGTGCCTAGAGCGGTGCTTGTCCTTTGCATGGTGGCGCAGGTACAGACAGGTTGATGCTTATGGAGAAAGGCTGAATCCGCTATGCCCATTTTGGGAATCTGTTGGAAGTTAATTGTTTGCAGCTCCAGGCAGGGTGGTTCCCAGGGGAGCACCACCCTGGGCCTGCCTGCTGGGCACATAACTTCTGAGAGGAGGAGGGCTGGAATAAGCCCACAGATAATGATCTTTTTCCCTTTTTTGGAGATAAGGTCTTGCTCTGTTGCCCAGGCTGGAGTGAGCAGTGGCACAAACACAGCTTACCACAGCCTCAACCTCACTGGCTCAAGTAATCTTCCTGCCTCAGCCTCTTTAGTAGCTGGGGCTACAGGCAGGTGCCACCACGCCTGGCTGATTTTTAAAAATTTTTTGGCCGGGCGCGGTGGCTCACGCCTGTAATCCCAGCACTTTGGGAGGCCGAGACGGGCGGATCACGAGGTCAGGAGATCAAGACCATCCTGGCTAACACAGTGAAACCCCGTCTCTACTAAAAAAATACAAAAATGGCAGGGGCATCCGGTGGGCTCATGCCCTGGTAATCTCAGCACTTTGGGAGGCCAAGGAGGGTGGATCATCTGAGGTCAGGAATTCACGACCAGCCTGGCCAACATGGTGAAACCCCATCTCTACTAAAAATATAAAAATTAGCTGGGCGTGGTGGCACATGCCTGTAATCCCAGCTACTCGGGAGGCTGAGGCAGGAGAATCGCTTGAACCCGGGAGGCAGAGGCTGCAGTGAGCTGAGAACACACCACTGCACTCCAGCCTGGCCAACAGTGCGAGACTCCGTCTCAAAAAAAAAAAAAAAAAAATTTTGTAGCTTTGCACAGCAGCAGTGTTGTAGCCAATGAGATTTATCCGAGGTGTGATTGTTGCTAATTGAAAACTTTTCCCAATACCCTGCCATGATGACTTGCAATATAGTCGGCATTGGCAATGTTTGACAGTCTCTGTACAGAGACCGAAAAAAAAATTTTTTTTATAGAGATGGGGTCTCACTTTGTTGCCCAGGCTGGCCTCGAACTCCTGAGCTCAAACAATCCACCTGCCTCAGCTTCCCAAGGTGCTGGGATTACAAGTGTAAACCATCAAGCCCAGCCCACAAATAATCATCCTTAGACAATGTCTAAAGACATAAAGAATGTCTAAAGACAATCTTTTTTTTTTTTTTTTTTTTTTTTTGAGACGGAGTCTCGCTCTGTCGCGGGGGCTGGAGCGCAGTGGCCGGATCTCAGCTCACTGCAAGCTCCGCCTCCCGGGTTCACGCCATTCTCCTGCCTCAGCCTCCTGTGTAGCTGGGACTACAGGCGCCCGCCACCTCGCCCGGCTAGTTTTTTGTATTTTTTTAGTAGAGATGGGGTTTCACCATGTTAGCCAGGATGGTCTCGATCTCCTGACCTCGTGATCCGCCCGTCTCAGCCTCCCAAAGTGCTGGGATTACAGGCTTGAGCCACCGCGCCCGGCCTAAAGACAATCTTTAGACAAATTGTCTCATCATTTTTAGACAATACTGAGGTGCAGGCCTTGTGTCTGTTGGTGGTGGGAAAGAGATGGTTGAGTAGGGCCTTAAAGATAATAAAAATAATTAACGTGTGTTTGCAGCAGGGGTGGCTTCCTGCTGTGGTCACTCCAGTGTAGGGTGAAAGTGTTCCAGCCTGGATAGCTCTCCCGTGTCATTGGCATTCCTGAAATTAGGAGACCGTTTTCATTGACTTTCTAGTGTTTGCCATTCTGGTGGATTATCCTTCTATACTGCTGGATCGGGTTTGTGGATTTGTCTAGCATCTGTGTAGAACAGGAGAGTGGGGACCCTAACCCTCAGTAAATATGGAAGTTCCTGACTGCTTCTCAGATGGGAACTCAAAGCCTTTATAGAACTGAGAATTAGAACGGGAAGCAAGAATGCTAGGAACTTGCTAACATTTTCTCTTCATTATTCCCTGGCGGTTTCCCCATGGTAGCTTTGTGTCATGTACGGGCACTTCCAGGAATAGGGTGCAGGGGAACCATCTCAGTGTCTCCCCTTCCAAATCATGGCTTCTGGAGGGAGAGAGGCTGGGGTGGGAGTGCTCCTTGGGTACTCAGGAGCTTAATAAAAGCAGAGGGAGCTGGAGAGCAAGGTCTGGCCTGCAGAGCTGGCACAGAGAAGCCTGGTGTGGGGCTGTCCAGCCTGCCAATATACAGTTAAGAAGAAAGGATATATGTGTGTGTGTATATATAGATGTATAGTGTGTGTGTGTGTGTGTGACAGGGTCTCACTCTGTCACCCAGGCTGAAGTGCAGTGACATGGTCTTGGTTCACTGCAACCTCCACCTCCCAGGTTCAAGCAATTCTTGTGCCTCAGCCTCCCAAGTAGCTGGGATTACAGGTGCACACCACCACGCCCGGCTTATTTTTTGGTGTTTTTAGTAGAGACGGGGTTTCACCCTGTTGGCCAGGCTGGTCTCGAACTCCTGACCTCAAATGATCCACCTGCCTCTGCTTCCCAAAATGCTGGGATTACGGCCTGAGCCACTGTGCCTGGCAGAAAAAAGATTTTCACAAGAACTGGAAGGTTAACTCCCCTCCCAGACCCAAAGATGCAGATTCAGCCTGACCAGCAGGAATGCACATGTGCCTCACTGTGAGGAGGGCAGAACTGAGGCTGCTTCTCAGGAAACTGTGAGGGTCTAGCGTGCCCCCCCACCCCCACCCGCAGACACAAGGGCCGGATAGAAGAGCCTCCCAGCATAGCCAATGGGACACCATGAATCATAGGCTTGTACTGTGGAAACTAGCAATTATGGTAATTACTCACACTGCAAAAGGCTCTTCCTCTTACCAAAGGACATTTTCCTCCCCCAAGCTGCTTCTCCTCCCTTTAAATAGCAGCTCCTCAGTGAATAAAGGCAGAAACATGTGGTTATAGGGAAGTACAAAGGAAGATAACATCTCTCACATAATAGCAAACAATGATTTGAAAATATTGGTACCCCAGCTTTATTGTAAAGCAGTTTATGTGAGTGATAACTAGAAGATAAATATGGAAAAGTAACTGAACGCTGCTGACACCTCTCTGAGCTTGCTTTGTGATATGTGGGCAGCTAGAAAAAGCAGCTAATTGTTAGGTGGCTCCTGTAAACACTTCCTGATGGGGAGCCTGTGAGCAGAAAAGAGCGGGCACAGGCCTGGACAGTGGTCAGGCACCGTTAGCATGAAACCCGCTGAGCTGCAGACACCCCGGTCAGCGTGGAGGAGGGAAGGAGTCGCTGTCCTGGGCCACAGTCTAGGGGGTGGACCCTGGTGCCATCCCTTTTGTGAGACTCACGTTAGTTTCTACCAACAGCCAAATACCACAAATGCAAAGATGTGGGGGAGAAGCCCATGAACATTGTCTGAATGTATGGTAAAGAAAAAAAAGAAAAAATAATCTTTTGTGGAAATGTAGGCTTTATTGTTTTAATGGGAAATTTGGTGATTGTATACAGTTTTGTTTTTTTTGTTTTTGTTTTTGAGATGAAGTCTCTATAACCCAGGCTGGAGTACGGTGGCACCATCTCGGTTCACTGCAACCTCCGCTTCCCAGGTTCAAGCGATTCTCCTGCCTCAGCCTCCCAAGTAGCTGGGACTACAGTCACCTGCCACCATGCCCTGCTAATTTTTTTTGTTGGAGACAGGGTTTGGGGTTTCACTGTGTTAGCCAGGATGGTCTTGATCTCCTGACCTCTTGATCCGCCTGCCTTGGCCTCCCAAAGTGCTGGGATTACAGGCGTGAGCCACTGTGCCCAGCCTGTATATAGTTTTTAGACTGATGGGTAAAATGTTGAAGGTCTGTATTGCAATCCTGCCTTTACTTTCTAAAAAGGATTCCTAAATTGATCCAGCATCAAATCAGTATATTTTAACCCTGACGATGAGCAGTATAGTTTCAGGTCTTGAATAGCAGGTTCTCCCACTGTCACTCCCTGACCGTTCTTCCTGCCCATTGCACAAACAAAATCAGTTCACGGAGACCATGGCATTGCAGTAAAGAAAGAGTTTAGGACCGGGCACGGTGGCTCATGCCTGTAATCCCAACACTTCGGGAGGCCAAGGCGGGCAGATCACCTGAGGTCAGGAGTTCAAGACCAGCCTGGTCAACATGATGAAACCCCATCTCTACTAAAAATACAAAAATTAGCTGGGCCTGGTGGCGCATGCCTGGAATCCCAGCTACTCGGGAGGCTGAGGCAAGAGAATCGCTTGAACCCGGGAGGTGGAGGTTGCAGTGAGCCGAGATCACACCACTGCACTCCAGCCTGGGTGACAGAGCAAGACTCCGTCTCAAAAAAAAAAAAAAAGAAAGAGTTTAATTGATGTGAGGCCGGCCATGCTACATGGAAGAGTTACTACTCCAACCAGTCTCTCCACGCATTTGGGGGCTAGAGTTTTTCTAAAATAGTTTGGAGTAAGGGGTGGCGGTGGCTGGGCAGTGGGTGCTTGCTGCCGATTGGTCAGGGCGCAATCACAGGGGTGTGAGAATCATCCTCCTGCCTGCTGAGTGGCTTCTGGGCGGGTCCAGGAGGAGCCATCACTTTGGACTTGCAAAACACCTGAAAAGATACCTCAAAAGACCAATCTTAGGTTCTGCAATAGAGATGCAGGAGTAATTGGAGAAGTTGCAGGTCTTGTGACCTCTGGAATGACGGCTGGCACCTTACCCGAATTCAGACTCCTCACCTCTTCCTAGCCTGGTAGGGTCTCACATTAGCTTCAGAAAGCTTAGCAAAGGTGGTTGAATTTCGGGAAAGGGCTGTTACTATTTAAACCAGAAACTAGGCCCTGTGTGGTGGATCCCAGTTGTAATCCACCACTTTGGGAAGATTGGGAGTGGCCGAGATCACGCCACTGCACTCCAGCCTGGCGACAGAGCAAGACTCGTCTCTAAATAAATAAATAAATCCAGATTGTGCATTTTATAATACTAGATGCTCGTTTTGTCATATGTTAATCCAATTTACTTCATTAAAGGTATCAAGATTCTGCCCTCCAAGAAAGTCTTGCCATGACTGGATAGGACCCCCAGACAAATATTCAAACCTTCGACCTGTTCACTTTTACATACCTGAAAATGAATCGCCATCGGAACAAAAGCTTAGAAAATTAAGACAAGAAACACAAGAATGGAATCAACAGTTCTGGGCAAACCAGAATTTGACTTTTAGTAAGGTAAGTTTCAGTTTTAGATCAGAATGAGAAACAACACAGTTGGCCACTTGAGGGTGCTAGATATTTAGTATTTGCTTTGCGTTTTGTCTCAGTCCCTCCCCCACAGTGTATGTATGTGTGGATGTGTGTATATATACGCATATAATTTTAAAAACTAATATGTAACTGTATATAAGAGACGCTCATTCGTAGAACCACAGATCTTGAGACTTTGAAGGAAGCAATGTGTGAGCAGCAGAGCCAGAACTGGAAGTACGTGTTTTACACACATACGTGTGTGTGTTTATCTTTATGAGAATACCGGTTTTTTTTTAGGTGGGGCATGGTGGCTCTGCAGTCCCAGCACTTTGGGAGGCTGAGATGGGCGGATCACTTGAAGCCAGGAGTTTGAGAGCAGGCTGGCCAACGTAGCGAAACCTAATCTCTACTAAAAATATAAAAATGAGCCAGGTGTGGTGGCACATGCCTGTGATCCCTGTGACTTGGGAGGCTGAGGCACAAGAATTGCTTGAACCTGGGAGGCGGAGGTTGCAATGAGCCGAGATCGCACCGTTACACTCCAGTCTGGGTGACAGGAGTGAAACCCTGACTCGAAAAAAAAGAAACCCAGTTTTTGTGATGTGTTGAATTCTTCCTGAGAATTCAAAAACATTTTTTTGTTGTTGTTGGGTTTTTTTTTTTTTTTTTTTTTGAGACGACGTTTCACTCTGTCACCAGGCTGGAATGCAGTGATATGATCTCAGCTTACTGCACTCTCTATCTCCCAGATTCAGGCGATTCTCCTGCCTCAGCCTCCCAAATAGCTAGGATTACAGGCACACGCCACCATGCCCAGCTAATTTTTGTATTTTTAGTGGAGACCGGGTTTCACCATGTTGGCCAGGATGGTCTTGATCTCCTGACCTCGTGATCCACCCACCTCAGCCTCCAAAAGTGTTGGGATTACAGGCGTGAGCCACCGTGCCCAGCCGAGAATTCAAAATTCTTAACAAGATACTTATAAATAAACTGTGTAAGAAAAAAGTATGAAAAAAGCATAAATAGTCTAAACCAGAAGAAAAACATTTAAACTTTTTTTTTTTTTTTTTTCCTGAGATGGAGTTTCACTCCTGTTGCCCAGGCTGGAGTGCAATGGTGTGATCTCGGCTCACCGCAACCTCCACCTCCCTGGTTCAAATGATTCTCCTGCCTCAGCTTTCCAAGTAGCTGGGATTACACGCTTGCCACCACACCCGGCTAATTTTTGTATTTTTAGTAGAGATGGGGTTTCACCACGTTGGCCAGGCTGGTCTTGAACTCCTGACCTTCAGGTGATCCGCCTGCCTTGGCCTCTCAAAGTGCTGGGATTCCAGGCGTGAGCCACCGCGCCCGGCCACATTTAAACTTTGATTTGCCATTTGAGTGGGCTGTGTCAGGTGGGGTGTATTTATCCTATTCTGTGGATTTTTTTTTTTTTTTTGAGACAGAGTCTCACTCTGTTGTCCAGGCTGGAGTACAGTGGCATGGTATCGGCTCACTGCAACCTCTGCCTCCCAGGTTCAAGCAGTTCTCCTGCCTCAGCCTCCTGAGTAGCTGGGATTACAGGTGCCCACCATCATACCTGGCTAATTTTTGTACTTTTAGTAGAGATGGGGTTTCTCCATGTTGGCCAGGCTGGTCTGGAACTGCTAATCTCAGGTGATCCACCCACCTTGTCCTCCCAAAGTGCTGGCGTTACAGGTGTGAGCCACTGCACCTGACCTATTCTGTGGATTTATAAACAGTGTCTCCCAAGTTTATCGAACATCTTTTCAAATCCTGTTACAAACACAAAACTTTTAACCACATTCAGAGGATTTTAAATGAACTTTAAGATGGGTCACCTGCTTCTCAGAAAGTCCACATCTGTGCTTCTCCAGGATGCTGTGAGCTGTGCTCTTGCCAAAGAAAAGAGTTCTGAGAGCCTTTTTTTTTTTTTTTTTTTTTTTTTTTTAGGAAAAAGAAGAATTTATTCACTTGAGACTAAAAACTAAAGGCCTGGGCCTGAGAACTGAATCAGGTTAGTGCATTTGTTTGGGTTTTTTTGTTTTGTTTTGTTTTGCTTTCTTTGTTTGGGTTTGAACAAGTCCATGAGAAGGTAAAGCAAGGGCGGTGAGAGAAGTGGGGAAGTTCAGGGCAGTTCTTGGCCTGCTTTGGGGCAGTGCTCGGCACACCTCTGTCCAGGTTCTTTTGCACACCCAGTTCCCAAGCATGGCTCTCCAATCTCTAGCTCCCTCTTCTCTCTCAGGAGTTTAGGTGGTTATGATGGATGACCACCTTCTGACCTTTGATTTCCATCCTGAGGTCTCAGCCTTTGCAACTTCTCCCTCTCCAAACCAGCTTCTCTTCTGATCCCTGATCTCAGTTCATTGCTCAAAATAGCCTTTCCTTATTTTCTCTTGGTGTTGATGTTAGGCCTGAGTGACATCTCATGCCGTTTGTTAAACAGATGTCTGCTGCCAGAATGTTGTTCTGATAGAAAATCCAAAATCATCGACCCCAAAAGCCAAGTCTGTCATTGGGCTAAAGTGCCATTCCTACTAATCCTTTACCTCACCTGATTCATTTAGAGTAAAGGGCTGGGGGCTTGAGTCTCCCCCGTGCCAGGACCTCTGTTGCTGTTTGCTGGCTGCTGGAGAGGTGGGGCCTTGCAGGCCCTGGAGAGGTGGGGCCTTGCAGGGCAGAGTTGGAGCAGATGCTGCATCCAACAGTAAGCATGAGAATGAGCACTCACAGTTTCAGGTCCTGTGCTGGACACTGTGCAAGTCCTGTGCATATATCACCTGTTGCATTTCCCACAGTGACCCAGTGAAGTAGATACTGTTTTTTTTTTTTTTTTTTTTGAGACGGAGTCTCGCTCTGTCGCCCAGGCTAGAGTGCAGTGGCCGGATCTCAGCTCACTGCAAGCTCCGCCTCCCGGGTTTACGCCATTCTCCTGCCTCAGCCTCCCCAGTAGCTGGGATTACAGGCGCCCGCCACCACGCCCGGCTAGTTTTTTGTATTTTTTAGTAGAGACGGGGTTTCACCGGGTTAGCCAGGATGGTCTCGATCTCCTGACCTCATGATCCACCCGTCTCGGCCTCCCAAAGTGCTGGGATTACAGGCTTGAGCCACCACGCCAGGCCGATACTGTTATCTTTACCATTTTATAGAAGAGCAACCTGAGGCTTCCCCAAAATTACACAGTGAGAATGTGGTGTGGCCTGGATTCTCACCTCGGGAGTCGGATTGCAAAGCCTCCTGGGCCTCACCGCGCTCCATGGCTGTCAACGAATTCCATGCTGACCTGGTGTGCGTGTGTGTGCGCGTGTGTGTGTGCGCGTGTGTGCGCGTGTGTGCGCGTGTGTGCATGTGTGTGCGTGTGTGTGCGCGTGTGTGTACGTGTGTGCGTGCGTGTGTGCAGGTGTGTGTGCGTGCGTGCGTGCGTGCACGTGTGCGTGCGTGTGTGGACGTGTGTGTCCGTGCGTGTGTGCATGTGTGTGTGCGCGTGTGTGTGCACGTGTGTGTGTGCGTGCGTGTGTGCATGTGCGCACCACATGTGCCATGCCATGTCCGTAGGTCTGTCATCATATCAGGTAGGACTAGGTCGGCTCATACCTTGGAAGTGCTTTGGAGACAACCACTGTCCTGACAGACGGGAGTTGTTGTTTTGATTCTTACTAAGGTCCCAGAATCCTGTTGATGGCTCTGCTGAGTATTGAAAGGCTGGCCTTAAATTAGGTTTGAAAATGAATTTGGTAATAGGACAGGATGTGTTAAGGAAGGGAAGCATGCAGGGAGCTGCCTGCTCTGGCAGCTGTTGAAAGTTAGCAGGCAGCAGTACCTGCAGTGGGAGTGGGGCAGCAGGCGTGTCACCTTGGGCCAGAGCACGTCTTGTACACAGTTGCACCAATGCGTGAGGATATAGGTCCCCAAGAGCCAAGAGAGGGGGAGCTTTGTTGAATACATGATGTTGGAGAAACCTTTGGCCCAAAAGAACAAATTTAGATTCGTTCTCCCTGCAATACAAATATGTTCCAGTGGGTCAAAATGTTAATTATTATTAATTATTTTTTTCTTTTTTTTGAGACAGGGTCTCACCCTGTCTCCCAGGCTGGAATGCAGTGGCACCATCTGGGCTCACTACAGCCTTGACCTCGTAGACTCAAGTGATCCTCCCACTTCAGCCTCCCAAGTACCTAGGACTACAGGTGCATGCCAGCACCACACCTGGCTAATTTTTATGTTTTTTGTAGGGACGGAGTTTTGCCATTTTGCCCAGGGTGGTCTCAAATTCCTGAGCTCAAGTAGTCCACCCACCTCGGCCTCCCAAAGTGCTGGGATTACAAGCATGAGCCACCGTGCCCGGCCAAAAAGTTAATTATTAAAAGTCAGGCCAGACGCGGTGGTTCACGCCTGTAATCCCAGCACTTGGGGAGGCCGAGGCGGATGGATCGCAAGGTCAGGAGTTCGAGACCAGCCTGATCAACATGGTGAAACCCCGTCTCTACTAAAAATACAAAAATTAACCGGTTGTGGTGGCAGGCGCCTGTAATCCCAGCTACTCAAGAGACTGAGGCAGGAGAATCACTTGAACCCAGGAGGCAGAGGTTGTAGTGAGCCAAGATCGCGCCGCTGTACTCCAGCCTGGGTGACAGAGCGAGTCTCTATCTCAAAAAAATAAAAAAAAATGTAAGTCGATTATTTATGGATTAAAGAGTTAGATACATAGTTCCTAGCTGTAGAGCATCTAATAGGAGATAACAGACTCTCTATTATCTGGAGGAATGATACCCTCCTGAGCTTGAGGGTCAAGATAGAGATATTCAAGAACATAAAAGCTGAAAACATCTGTGTTAAGACTCCTTTTGATCCACCTTTCTGGACAGGAGAGTTTGCTGAGCAGATGTGGGGGTGGCTCAGTACCCACGGGAGGATGGAGCTGGCCCCAGTCATGGCCTGTGCTCAGACGCTAAGACCAGAGCAATTTCTGGTGTTTAAACTTTTCTCCTAGGCCACTGCTTTACCTTTCTCATGCTATAAACTGGCTTTCTCTGCCTCCTTGTTTATCCCTCCTGAGTTCAAGGAAGCAGTCAGCTGAGGAGGCTGCCTTTCCCCAGGCTGGCACCAGCCCAGTTGGGAGGTGCCGGATTAGCTGAGGCGGAGGTGGGGCTTGTGCAGAGAGCCTGGCTGCTGCCATGGAGACAGGAGGAAGCAGGCAAAAGAGCAGGCCTGCTGGCAAAGGATCAGAGGGCTGGGCAGACACAGGGATCAGTGTCCCGGAAATGTGAGGAAGGGCAAGTGCTGGCAGCAAAGACGACGTGGGCAATTTGGACTTCAGGAAAATGTGCCACAAATTTGCAGAAATAACACACATTTATAGACAAGTAACGTGACTACAAGAAGAAAAAATTGCTCGAACTCTAAATTTTACAAGGCATATTGGTTTATTTTTTTGAGATGGAGTCTCGCTCTGTCACCAGGCTGGAGTGCAGTGGCATGATCTCGGCTCACTGCAGTCTCCGCCTCCTGGGTTTCAGTGATTCTCCTGCCTCAGCCTCCCAAGTAGCTGGGATTACAGGCACCCACCACCACACCTGGCTAATTTTTTCATGTGTGTGTTTTGTAGAGCAGGGTTTCACGATGTTGACCAGGCTGGACTCGAACTCCTGACCTCAAGTGATCCACTCATCTCAGCCTCCCAAAGTGGTGGGATTATAGGCATGAGCCATTGCACCCAGCCTACAGTGCATATTCAACAAGAAGTCATCATTTCATGCTTACTCAATTCATGGGGGAATGTTTTCAGTCTTGAGACTCAGTGCTGGTGGAGTTACATCAAAGGTGGATGGCAGTAGCAAATCCTCAGTCCCTTTTCGAGAAGGATTTAGCTAAACATACTACACATATCCCAGGAAGCAGGAAAATGATGCTCATGAATCTTCTGTAAGAATTCATGTGGAGAGCCAGGCTTGGTAACTCACACCTGTAATCTCACCACTTTGGGAGGCTGAGGTGGGTGGATCACTTGAGCCCAGGAGTTTGAGACCAGCCTGGGCAACATGGTGAAACCCTGTGTCTACAAAAAATTTAAAAATAAAAATAATTAAGGCCAGGCGCAGTGGCTTACGCCTGTAATCCCAGCACTTTGGGAGGCCGAGGCGGGTGGATCGCCTGAGGTTGGGAGTTCGAGAACAGCCTGACTAACATGAAGAAATCCCCTCTCTACTGAAAATATAAAATTAGGCCGGGCGCGGTGGCTCATGTCTGTAATCCCAGCGCTTTGGGAGGCCAAGGTGGGTGGATCACGAGGTCAGGAGTTCGAGACCAGCCTGATCAGCATGGTGAAACCCCATCTCTACTAAAAATACAAAAAATTAGCCAGGCACGGTGGCGGGCGCCTGTAGTCCCAGCTACTCTGGAGGCTGAGGCAGGAGAATGGCATGAACCCGGGAGGCGGAGCTTGCAGTGAGCTGAGGTCACGCCACTGCACTCCAGCCTGGGCTACAGAGTGAGACTCCGTCTTAAAAAAAAAAAAAAAGAAAGAAAATTAGCCAGGCGTGGTGGTGCACGCCTGTAATCCCAGCTACTCAGGAGGCTGAGGCAGAAGAATCACTTGAACCCTGGAGGCAGAGGTTGTAGTGAGCCGAGATCACACCATTGCACGCCAGCCTGGGCAACAAGAGTGAAACTCCATCTCAAAAAAAAAATAAAAATAAAAAACAGCCAAGTTTGCAAGTTTGGCAGTATGTGTCTGTAGTCCCAGCTACTCGGAAAGCTGAGGTGGGAGGATTGCTTGAGCCCAGGAGGTGGAGGCTGCAGTGAGCCAAGATTGTGTCACTGCACTCCAGCCTGAGTGGCAGAGCCAGACCGTCTCCAACAGCAACAACAAAAATTCATGTGGGGAAACATGGGAAGAGTTCAGCTGTGTGTTCTTTGCAGCAGGATCTTTCATTGCACAAGAATGGGAAGAATGGAAATGTCCAGTACTAGCAGAACGGATAAGGCTGTGGTGGCCTACCCGCTCACTGGCCTTCACTG